GTTTCTTCACAATAGACATAAACTAAACCCAAGGTGTTGAAGTTTGGAGGTTGAAACATATTACGTCCTATCGAGTCCTATTCATCTTGCACACGAATAGGTTATCCTGTCATAAGACTTGGGTCGCTGCTGATCTTTCTCTGGCGAAGGAAAGCGATCTTAAGGAGAGGGATTTGGCGCGAAGGCGACGGTTGTTGCGTGAAGCCGATCCTGAAGGTCCGAAGCCGCTGCAGTGTTCTTTTAACCTCCAGGGGTTAATGTTTCACACCCATCACGGTGGAGATGGGAAGGCGATGGAAGACCTGCGTGCCTGATATTGCCTGATATTGCCATCATGTGAATTTCGGAATAGCCTATGCAGCCTATTCATGACTTCAAGTCGTCTTCAAGTCAACACCTCCGGATGTTTCCGGAATGGAACTGCACGGCACGTTGTGGGTCTGTGGAGCTTGAGAAGCCCAACCGAGTTGGCAAACCGACCTAAAAGCAACATGAGCTGTGTTGGGTCATGTGCCTATACATTGCTGAGTTGCCTACACCCGGGGGGTTCGCAGGGTCAGAACTTGTGGGAGAGATGGCTTACTATCACTGATCCTGACCGTCGGGGGCTCAGGCATGGCTGCCGGCCCAACATGCGCATTACCCAAACACTCCATGGGACTGGCATGTTTACCAACAGTGACCCCTTGTCAACCACCCCAATGTAGGGATGTGGGATGTATGAATACTTGAATATGCCGGTCCCATGTCGTGTCTGGGTATGTCATGGTGTGTCTAAGTCTAGGTCCTCTGTGCCCGATCTCCACGGAAATACCTCCATGATGCAAAACGGCCAAGCTTGTGCCGCTCCATCCCGGTTAGTGGAGGGTGGTGCTTTGGCTGTCTGGTGGAGACCCGACGCGAGGAGGGGTTTCTGGAGCTGGAATGTTGGGGATGTTGGTTGATGTTGCTTGGTTCCTCCTTCACTTCCACTTCACCTTCAATCGCCACCTCATCTTCGGCATCTCTGACAGTGCTAGTCTGAGCTGATAGTGATTGAACACTGCAATTGCATACTATTTGGTGTTAAACTCTCAACAGTTAGAGTTTCTAAAAAAAAGATCTTGATCGAATTCGCCAAACCCTGGGTTCTTCCAGGTGAGAAGCAAATCCTCGGCTCCATCTATATCACCCCCAAAATCTCTCCGCAGTTTACCCAACGCCCCCCCCAGAAACCACAGCGGGTCCTGAAAACTGGTGCGCTCATCCATTTGGGAGGCTCTCCTCCCAGGGTCTCCTCTACCACACCTTTCCCTGCCTGTGCCAGCTGTGCTGCGGTGCAGGGTGAGGGTTTGGGGGATGGGAGGTTCAGGAAAGAGGATGAGGAAACAAAACAAAAGATGCTATCTGGAAGCTTGATTTTGTCTATTCTATATGTTCAATTCTTTCTACAGCCCCGGCCCCTTGCGCCCCTATCTTTGGTAGCTTTGGATGTCTTTGCTGGAGTATTGATGCCTCTTCAACTCCCACAACACCCGTCACAACCCGATGACAGGAATTCTTCTGGGACTGTGGGTCGCCCCTCCCATGAATCATATAGTTCATCCAAGTTCATCAGTTCATCCAGGTGCTGCCCACACACGTACCCACCGTAGAATGGTTGAAACGGCTTAACATCATCTACCATGAGGACCCGGATGTGAATGAGTTCGAGTGATGTGTTCCAGTGATAAGCTGAAAAACATCTGTATCTTGAACCACATGGAAGAGCTATCCATGCTTTTGGAGCTCGTGTTCCAATGTCTATCCTCCATCCCTCTCGGCTGGTCAGTGTCCAACGCCTCAACCCCGCGTAAGAAGAAGCTCCACTCCTTGTGAGCATTGGCCAGCGAAGATTCACTACCAGCACCGAAAGCTACGAACAAACAGTCTTGAAACCACCAAGATCTTCGAACGTGCTAGCTTTCCATTGGATGCTAATGATTTAGAGGGTCCTGGACAAAACAGTAACATGCACAACAAAGCTACCAGGTAGCCTCACCCTAAAAGGGAGGTGCCCCGAGGTCACAAAGCTAGGCTTCAGGATGGGGTGGGTGGAGGCTTCAGGCTCGATTGGAGTTGCTGGCACTACCGGGAAACACAGTGAAATGTATACATCATGTGGTCATTTATAATGGAACCTGGCTGGCACCTTTGTGGAAGTGTTTAACGAACATTCACAACTTGGATGTCTGACCCGTGTACGAGGAGTGCTTCGACTTAACGGGTCACTTCGACTTAACGGGTCAGTGTATACAGTTTGAAGTAGACACAATCGGGGCAGCATTCAGCTCCGAACAAAATAGGGATCTTGGGCCCGGGGCAAACCTGGTAGTCATTGAATCGTTCGGGACCTTGAAAGTAGTGCTTCAAGACGCCCCACCAGCCGTACCATTTGTTTTTGATCAATATAAACTGGCAGGTGTTAAATTATGTGTACTATAAACTAATGTAGACTCTTGATTAATAAACCCTCCCTTTGAAGAGGATGTTCAATTCAAACGGGGGGGTCACTTAATCAAGAGTCTACATTATATAACAACTATGTCCATGGTATAAATGCCACAGTTTTCTGCAGGATCCTTCGCACCCTTGTTCTGGGGGCCCTTTTCGTTGGTTGAGTCGTCTCGGTTTCGAAGCATCTGGTCACCACACGGATGGTGACTGCCAGGCGCGCGCCACGGATGGTGCTTCGGCCCCGGAAAGGTAACGTCACTCCCAACAAGGTTTGGGGAGCACTCATACCAACAAGCGGTATGTTCTGAGGGAAAATCAAAGTGGGCACTCTGTGCTACTGGTTTTCCGTGGCACGAACCCGCCGCAACGTGATACAGTACCGCCTCCGGTGTGATCGGTTGCTTCCCCATGAAGAGCGCGTGAGCCTGTACGCGATTTCGCAGTCAAACATCCCCTGGACGGCCCAAGGCAGGGGGGTTTGAAGGGCTGTGTCCCTTTGGATCAACCGCCACTCTCTGAGTGATGTCTTCAACACGTTTCTGTAGGTGCCAGGAGGGTCCATGGACCTTCTGACAAGCTCTGCGGTATTCTTAGGCTAAGGTGGTGGAATCCGCTTTGGATGGGCAATCTATCCCAATGGTTTGAGGCTCGCTTTCCCCATTGAAGTCAACAATTACTCGGTCCGGTGACCACCGGGTGACCACATCATCACGATCCTCCATGGCGCCACTTGAGAACTCTTGAGGCGAACGGGCGAACGATGTCAAAGGAGATAGCATCAAAGACTTACAGAACCGATGAAGTCTGAAGTGGATGATGCAACCAGCCTGAACTGAGCTCCAAGAAAGACCAAATCCCCTGATCCGACGGACCATGGGGTGTTCATAACATCTTGTGGTCTTCCAAAAAGACATGCTGATGGAGACCTGATGGAGAGATATGGAGAATTTATAAGAATATCATACGAACATATACGAACATGCAGGCAATTAAAAGGCATCGCATACCTAAGTTTTGGTGCAAGAGTTGCTGAAAGCACTCTTCCATTCTTTAAAATCATCCATTGTCATTAGGTATGTGGAATCGATGAACAGCAAACCCCTTTCAAGAATAGGGTACTACAGTATCGGAAGACGGGATTCCATAGCTCTATAGCTCTGAAGACGGGAATGCTCCCCACCCACCGGGACAACCCGAGCGTCTCACCCGCCCGAAACAACATGGGTGATACGATTTTCGTGCAGCAACCCAGACCCGCACGACGGAGTGCATGGCATATGTCCAAAATGAACAAGAATCGAAACAAATATAGTACATTACAGCTCAACTAACCAGCATATGTCCTGTATGTCCAGTCATATGGACATACTGTGACATACTAGATGTATATAGTACAGTACATTACAGCTCAGTCAGCAAATGGGTCCCTGCATTTTGATACAGATGTCAATGGTCCCCATTCTAGAGATCCGCTTGCACCGGGTCTGAGACCAACACCCGAAACCGTTCTTTGCTTAAACCGAAGCAACCGAACCGAACCGTTCTACAACAACCACGTCATGTCACGTTTCACTCGCTCGCAGCCCAGGTCGACCAGACCGTCTCATGGGCCTGCCTTGTGTCTCAAGCATCGGTTGCAAATCATGAACGCATAGAGGAGTTTGTGATCCTCGCAGCAAGAAGTCAGCAAAGCAAAGAGGCGTCGTCTGACCCGCACTGTGACAGTGACGTCACGCGCGACAGTCAAGTCCCGTTGTTCGTCACGGCCTTTCATAGGCAGTGTAGACGGTCGGCCGGTCGGTTTTGGGGTGTTCCATGAAAGAACCAAACCATGGGTGGCTAAGTGATGGCGATGAAATCTGGTCAACGTCCCAGTCAAAAGACCCCAGTCAACTCAGGTCACCTCCGCCCCTGGTCACAGCTTCCTTTCGAACTGAGAACTCCTGGTCTTCTGGAGCGTCAGAACGATTGGTGGCTCCAGTGTTTGAGGCCCATCGTCTTGTTCTTCGTGGCGCTGCTGTTCTGGAAGAAAGCATCGTGGCGCCACTGTTTAGGTTCTCAGGCTCCTGCTTAAAGGAAACACAACCATCTGGTATATACTATATACATATAGAGATCCAACAAGACGTGCAAGAAGGGAATAGAATATAAACAAGATCTTTGACACGGCCCACCAGAACTGCAATCAGTAAATACTCCACCGCTTTTTCCTCAAGCGTGCTGATCCGCCTTTTGGCAGAACTTTGGGAACACACTTCCTTGGTGTGAGACCGTTTGTCCGGTGCAGCGAGTTTAGCTGGTGGAAGGTTGTCTCGACACCAGCACAAGGACTCAAGACTCGGGTGTGTCTCACAAAGAGGAAGGACCCCCTTTCTGTACACCCTATGGCAAAAGTCATTTCTTTGCAGATTCTAGTCACTGAATCTGCAGCAAACAGATGCAAACATAAACAATATATCATAACTACAACCATAATGAACCATACATATACGCAAGCAAATGCAAGCAATATCTACGTCACATCCAAGCAAGAACCTGAGGAAGAAAGGCATGTCGACCAACCGAGTGCTGTCCGAATGCTGCTTAAGGCTTAAGGTACCAAGCAGGACTGACTGGTGGACATGGTATTCACCGTTTAGGATTGAAGCCTGAGCTCATTTGCGGAGGTTTCCTGTTCTGAGACAAACCCACATATATCTAAAAGATGTGAAAAGACATCCCTAAGACCCCAGTTCTATGTAATAAACACTATTTCAGGAGCTGCTGCTGCTGCTACTGCTGGATGGAGCCTCAGTGGCAATCAGCCCGAAATTGCCCAGAAGGCCACAGTGGCTACACCAGAAGCTTTGCTGTGGCATAAGTGGTTGATGAGTTGTTTTGCTCCACCTGGTGTGGAGATGGTTGTAACCTTCACGATGGTTGCTGAAACACAGCCCCAACCAGCTCACAGAAGTCAGCTGTGGATGCTGTGAATGATCTAGGTAAGTGAAAAAGGCCGACCTGGATGATTTGGTGCAGGAAATTTAAATGATGACACACTTGGACATGATGGTGCTGTAAATGACGAGTGGTCCTGGCAGCCATAGATTCCTTCATAGTGAATGCACGTGAAGATCATCTTATTGAACTCTCGGAATGTCCTGTTTATGGGTCTGCTCACGGCTCACACACACACACACACACACACACACGTACTCACATATACATCATATACACCAACTGACCTTCTTGAGACACACCCAATCAAATTGAGCCATCAGAAAGCTCTGGCTGCACATTGTGCCAGGTGCAGACCGAAAATCGGATAGACGAGCTGTCCATGTCACGGTGTGGGAGTTTGGTGTGGGACTTTGTATACTCAAACGATAAGGCGGTCAATTCCACTGATCGGTTTACCGGGACTGAGGACTGGGACGCTTGATGACACTTGGACTAGGGACTGGAACACAAGCCATGGAAACTCTGTGAGAGACGAAAGTGACAAACGCGCCACAGAAGTCTCCCATCTCAGGGCGCCCCCCATATGTGGTGGGCGCCGCCCGAAGTTCCTTGCACGTCTTGTGCAAAGCCCATCGCCGTCAGGGAGCTTCCGCCATCTTCCTGAGATAGATCTAATTTGGGTGAATCGGTTACAGTAATCAATTGGATACACCCCAACTCACTGACATGAGCATGGACCATGGTTTCTGCGCAAGATTGAAAACTACATTCCTTGCAAGGAGGTGGTGCCATCCACTTCCAACTTGGTGAGTGGGAATGACAGGGATTTTGGCTGATGCCCCTAAACATAGACACATGATGTGGGATTACAACCATAGCAGATAACAACATCAAAAGGATACAGCTGCAAAAGAAACTGAACAAAGGCACACGATTCACAGAACTTCAAGACTGCTCAGTCTAATAGCGTCTTCAAAACTGCTGACAAGTATCTCATCTGACTTGTACTCCTTCTTAATCTCTTCATGCATCTTCTTGACAATTTTTTCCATATACTCCTCGCACGAGAAACAACGACTGAGGAGGAAGCTGCCGACGAGGCGTCACAAAAAGGCGATCCTTCCAGTACACTTCAGCAAACAAGATTCATGGAAGTGCTTCGAAATCCCAGTGCTGGGCTCTAGGTGTTCTGAAAAAGGATTGCAACATAAACATATTCTAGAAAAGTCAATAAAATAGCAATAGAATGCAATAGATGCCGGGTAAACTGGGAATATCCGGTCTCCGGTCTCCATATATTCATTGGTTTTTGAATCAAGATTCCCAATACGTCTGCACTCCGCGAGAAAATGAACATGCACACGTGTTTATAGAGATCCTGTTTCAGGGTTTCAGGGATCTTGGATGACCTTTCACTTAGGTCAGGGAAAGCCACTCTGCTGTCCCAAGCCCCGAGAGAATGGTGCATGGAAACACAGCGCAAAGCACGGCACACCTGCGTCGCGTAGAGCACGGCGTTGCAAAACTCTGCCTCGGTGACGGACCTCGGTGGCAGATTGAAACTGCAAATGCGGCATCCAGCTACCATCCTGGGATCGACTGGGATGGCTTCCGGATGCATTTCTTTTCCCACATCCAAAGAAGTCCCAAATCTGGGTGTGATGCGCTCGTTTGTGCTGTCTATTCTGAATTCTGAACTATCTTATCTTCATTACCATACCCTTGCCAGGTGTCTAGAAAGTTCTGAATCAAGTCGGCTATTGCCCAAAGCACAAGGCTTACAACAAAACAATGCAAACAACACTATCCTGAATGCACACTGTACCTGAAGGTACCTGGATATGTCTTCCTATAGATGATTTCGACCAAATGCAATTCTTTCCAACTCTAGATACGTCTGAGTCTAGATAGTTCTCTAGATAGTTCCAATTGATTTCTAGATACTGTAGTTCTCTATCAACTCTTTCGGTTGTACCACTTGCCTGGATCCGAACCCGACCGTTGACTGGGTGGCGATCCCATGGGACAGACTTCGACCATGTTCCTCTACCACCCAGTGATTCAATAACCTAGGCAAGTGCAAACTGGACATGATTTGTTTATTGTTTTAATGTGGTCCTCTAGGCCCTAGGCAGGAGGTATCTATTTGAAAACAGGTCTCCAGCAGCCCGTGGTCGATTTCCGTGCGTGTTGGATACAGAGTACTGTGAGCAACTTAAGCATGTCATGTCTGCAAGCCACTCTCCAGCGTCGCTCTCCTCCTTCTGCATGGCGACAATTTGAGATTGGAAGGTCCTCAGTTCAGTGGGAAGGGCCACCAGGGCAAGTCGTCTGCGCTCACCGGTGCTGACCAGCTTGTTTATTCATGGTGCTTAGTGTTGTTGACCAAACATGACCAAACCATCCCGCCAATCATACGAATGGTCAAAGCACGTGACAAACACTGCCAACTTGTGCTCCCCTGACTTGGCAGCTGAAACACCTAGAGACTTCTCTCTTTAGGAAGAAACATCCTGCACAGAACAAAAACACGACAGGAACAAATCAAACACCCTGTGTACAAACCCTTTCCTACATAGAACTTCATAGAACTGTCTGAAGAGAAAAGCCAAACATGTTTATAAGTATAAGCATTATTGTTGTTCATGATGAAACAACATGTAACTGAGATATTTCGAGATTAATCAGAATGTATCTATTTGTCCAAAAGCGTCATGCAATACCAAGCATATATATATATATATTATTAATATGAGTTATACCAAGCGTCTTGATGAACTTCTTGTTTTCGCCTCCCCACCGCTGCTCGTCCTTTAAGATTCGATGAAGATACATCCTCTCCTGGATGATTCGCGCGGCGGCGCGTCCCACGCGCAGGCGTTCTTCTGTGGCGGTTTCCGCTACTTTCTGCAGAAAGCGCACCAAATGACAAAACTCCAATAAGCATCAAGATCGTTGCCACTTATGGACACAATACAATCCATGAATACATTGACGCCTGAAATCCATTCCAAGTGTCTCAGAGAGGTCACCATAGATGCAGGTCGATCCGTCTTCACATTATGTGTTCAGCAAAATTTCCATGGGCCTGTTTTTGTTTTTTCTGTTGGAGGTGCTTCTGACCTCTAGTATGACAGAAACAAGTTCTAATAGCTGTGGTAGTGTTGTAGAGGGGAACTCATTCTCCCAGACGTCCCAGACGTTTGACACTGTCCCAGACGTTTCGGACGCTTGCTGTGTGGTCTTGGGTGATGAATTACACACCCCGTCTACCGAGCACCTCGAAACAAACACCCCCGTGCCGCATGTCTCTCGCATATGTGTCTCTCTCGCGTCGGTTCGGATGTCGCGTAACATCGAAACCGCTCTTTCCAAGTAGCCATCTTGCTGAGATGCCGGTAGGGACAATCGGAGCAACAAGACTCATCAGCATTTACCACGTGGAAGAGCTCCCGAGCGATTTTCAACACCTGAGTGAGGAGTAAGGAGTGAGTTCGACAAAAGGTGGAGTGAGTTCGACGAGAGAAACGAAAGGATCTCTGAGAGATAAATGCAAATGTGTGCTGTTTGCTCTGTGCATCTATTTGCCCCTTCATGAAACTAAGAGTCATCGTTTCCTAGTTCTCGGGATCAAACAGCACAACGAGTTCGAACTTCTTTCTCCCCTATGAGCCTCCAAGTATCACAAACGGATCTCACCCATGCTCCTGGTCCGTCACCGGTGCTCCGGCCTTGTACTCCATGCGGGACAAGAAGAGCCACTTCATGAAGGCAAGGAACCACTTGATGGGCGGAAACATGCGAAACCTCAGTGAAATCATGTGAAATCTCTCTCACATGTTCTCTCTTCAAACAAGTTCTATCTTTTTCTCCAGCCCTGTGGGGCATCACTTCCAGGCCCCCACGATCTGATGCCGAAGACCCGCCCGGCCGCCCGGCCGTGCCGTGGCACGCCCCCGGTGGGCGACGCGTGTTTTCGCAAAAAAAAAAGGCCACGATCCAGGGACCGGTTGGTGTCCAGACAAAGAGCCAACCAGAAGAATACTGTTTTGGTTGGTCTATGTGCTTTGTGTCTTGTCAACGACAACTTGTGTGTGTGTGTGTGTCCGCGTGTGTCTGACTTACTGTACTTCAGAATACACATTGAGTGTCATCTCAGGATTGCCGCTTGAAAAATCTTGAAAGCTGCTTTACATCGCAGGTTCCAGGTTCAATAACACACAACCACAACCTTTGAACTTCAAAGACCACCTTGCACCTGGCAAACGTCAAAGGTCGTGATCCGAAGAAATTCTTGAAATGACAGGAGTCGACATGAGTCACAAGTCCCACATCCACTCAAAACACCACAACAGTGGATGGTCAAAATATGTCAGAATCTTACACGCCAAAAGCAATCTCTGGACTCTAGAATTGCAAAATATGGCAACCGCCAACAGCAAGGAATCTGGATTGTCTCTACCCAACCACCTGGAATTAGTCGGCGACGCTTGCTTCCAACACAAACCGCCCCGCGGATGGTGCCGCTCTGGATCTAGTGGGCTGGATTTGATCCCTAGAGTGAGTCTGTCAAGGTACAGGTACGTACCCAAAACTACTCACCTCGACTTTGTGGAGGGCCACCTACCCGGAGGGGTCCAGAGTTCCAAGTTCAGTGGCCGAGAAGCCAAAAGCAGCATCCGCTTGTGACGGGCTTCACGGTGGTCTCCACCCATCCCTCCTTCTCCTCGCCCATGTTCACGACAGCGAGATCAACAATCGCCACACTGAAGCTGGGAACAGCTGCGGAAGCGGTTCCAACAAAGCGCGGCAAGAAGGCGTTAGTTATACCATGTTATACCGTGTTAACCCCATCTGTGTGGTGTTTCATCGTGGTTTTGTTTCAACGTCTTATATAATCCCAACTGCCTGCTTCCCTGCGGAAGAAGGAACTGAGGGAATCTGCTCTGTTGTATTTTATGGCGCGTCAACCAAACACAGTTCAGAAGACAGTGCAAGGATGTCCTTGCCTACCTTGCTACCTGCTTGACCTTTGGTGGCTTGGGGAACCCCAAGCAAAAAAGGACTCTTACCAGGACCAAGAGATTGGCAGTGTAAAGAAGATACCTAATTTCATGGCGGGTGCCTTAGATACCTACCCACGTCGAGACCTGGCAGAATATTTTTTAAAATATTCCTATATACTTCCAGCTATATCTGAAAAAATATTCTGTGAACTGACCAGTTAGTGGAATAGTTGTAGGAATTTAATATTCCAGAAAAATTCTAGTTTTTTCATTTAATTATTCTGGGTTTAGTTCCACCCTCCTTCTCACAAACAGGGTTTAGTTCTAGTTCTTTGAAATAATTATTCTGGGTTTAGTTCCACCTGCCTTCTCAGGATTGCCCATCTTTCATCACTCCTCCAACATGTTCTTCATACAAAAAATATTCTGGGGTTTGTTTTTAGTATCAGTATCACATACCTCCAGCCATAAATATTCCTGTAAAATTATTCCAGAAAAAAATATTCTGTGAACTCACGGTATGACCTGGAATATTTAATCAAGGTACCCCCCATCTAATTTCTGGGATTTTCTGGGTCTGTCTGTCTTAACATATCCCCATTCTTTCATTTGGAGGTCATAGGCTGCATATTTAGGATCACCAAATGATCACCAAGTAGGGCACCAATGAACACCTGTTCGAGCACCGTAACCTCGAACTGGCGCAAACGCGCAAATACCGCGCGTGTTGTGTTGTTCTCCTCAAAGAGACCCATGCAAATCTTGGTGTAAATGAACTCGGTAAAGTCCTGGGAGGATTGGATTTTACGAAGGTTGAAGGGTTCAGAAGAAAGTCAGGGGTTCGGAATCCAGTTCCGATGTGCTTGGAGTTTGGGGGCTGAGCCAGGGCTGAAAAGGGCATGGGTTATCTTGTGATCATCACAGGTGATCATCATCACCAGTCGTTACTTGGACGGGTCAGTCGCTGGATCCTGAATGGGGGTTGTTCACCATCACTCGGATGGTTTGCGGTCTACAAGTACAAAAAAAGGACCGTCATGCTGAAGAGCGGAGATCACGGGGTCAAACCCTCGCCAGCATTGCCTTGGGGGTCTTCGGGCCAACACAGCTGCATTCGTGGATAGCATGGTGAATGCCCATAATAGGTGTAGAGGATCTGTTTCCGCCCCTACTGGCAGCCGAAACTCGCGGTAGATATGGTTTGGTCATGTTTGGTCCAGTTCCATGTGGCTAATGCTTCATGAGAATGATGGCGACATTCTTGGTGCAACACAACATTCTCTGCGACTGACACATTACAACTCAACTTTGGCGCAGTTTGGCAGCGGATGCAGCTGGTCAAAAACAAACCACTCATGTTCGTTTGGTCGTATTCATGTTCATCCTACAAAGCATTGCGCCCCTTCACCCTCTGATGGAGCCACTGCCCAATGGGCAAGCTGCTGGAAGATCTTCAGTGCAAGCTTCAAGGTCAACTCCCCAAACTCACAAAACAAAAGTCCCCCTTCAAACATCGTCAAATCTCACAAATTGGCACCCCCAAATCTTCTTGGTCATTGGACTGAAGAGTCAAACGGTTGGAAGAAGTCCAGCACCTGGAAGAGTCTCAGGGAGCATAGGATTTCTTACCCCAACACGAGCATCAGAGGAACTTGCTTCCGACGACCCAAGTCGTGAACCCTCCAACACTAAAGCTCCTGGATGATGATGTGAATGCGCCTGGCAGGATTTTGTCAGTGCGCAAAGATTTGTCTGACATCATCTGACCAAGTACGAGCAATGAGCTCTAGTCACTTCATCGTCACGAGGGACAAGTTTACCAGGGTTTAGTATGTAGAAGTTACCTGAAAGGCGGGACCGGATTCCGGACATCTTCGATTCTTCAACCTGATTCTTCACAAATACCGGTTGATACTCCGCTTGGAGAAGGAGAATGATTGGCATGTAACAGTTCACTTGGAGCTGAGTCAGGTCTTTCCTGATACAACGGACGGCTCCCAGTGACACTTGCTTGCATTGATGGGGCTCGCTTTCATGCGGCTGAAGTTGATAGAGTTCCGGCGAGTAAATGCGATCACACACCCCAAAGCGATCAAGTGTCATACCCAAACACTCCATGTATGCCATATATGCCTACATTGGGGTGGTTTGGGGGGTCAATGTAGGCATATGGCATCATCATCATCATCATCATCATCATCATCATCATCATCAGGCATCAGGCATCAATTATCAGGATGTGTGGATCAATGCCTCAAATTGGTTTCAAGTGACAAAATGGTTTCTAAAAATCATGATCCCCACCCTCATGAAATGGACGATCCTCGCAGTGAGCCAAAACGGTTCACCCACCGCAATTCCCCACAAAAATGGCTTCCCGAAGTCATCTTGTGCAACAAATGGAACATGGTTCCGGGGGAGTCTACCCACTCACGCTATTGACGTCGCTATAAGAAAAACTCCGACTGGGATCCCCCCACTCTTGCATATCTTCGGAGGTTCTGGAGGCCGCCAGGCGCTGCTCGAAGAGGCTTGCAAAGAACTGAAGCGAATATTGGTACCTGGCGGATCGTTTGGTTTTCGCGGTGCACGCAAAACCCGTGCGGAGAAAGCAAAGTGAGCACATCGGTTGATGGGATGCATCGAACAGTACGCATTCCCCCCCATTAGACTCAGCGTCTGAAGTATATTAAGTAGACAGTAGACAACAAAATGTATGTTTCTTCCTACACTCATCCTTCTCAAGCTGGAACAGCGCGCTTTGCACTGAGGAAGCGCTTTTTCAAGCCTTCCCCTGTAGGAACTGGTGCGGCAGCAGCTCGTGTCAGCGCCGGCAGCTCGTCGGACGGTCGTTGCAAGTCGCATTTGCTGTCCAGGAACTGGGAAAAGAAAGAGCCCCGCACCCTGAGTTCCATAGAATTTCTTCAGAATCAAATGGTGTCATAGAATGTCGATGTCAAAAGCATCGACATAGGGTCAGCACGTATACCAAAGAGCATATGGATGGAGCAGGAATCCCGGGCGTCACTTGCTAAATCCGGCTGAGAACATCTGAAAGATTCGGCATGACAAACAGCTGTTTTCTTTTCTCAGCTCCTCAGAGATTCCCCATAACCATCCAAAACCTATAGAGGATCCCCCAGAACAAAGAACTGTGAAACCTTGCCAAACCTCTACCCTCGCAGTAGATTACTAGAGGTACCTTCCTAAAATGGACATCCCCCCCAGTTTCGTCCGTTTCACCGGCGACGACCACCTGACCTCCCGTTCTTTTTCTCCGGCGGAAGTCGCTCCCCGGAGGCACATGGGATCGATGTTGGCCAGGTCCGCCACCTCGGAGACATCGGAGACGGAGACGAGCGAAACGAGCTGAAGAAGCGGGTTCCGCGCAGAGTATAGGTGGTGCATGGTGGTGCTATAGATGTTTAAGCCATAGCCAAATGTTGTGCCTAGGAAACCTGCAATAGCTCACAAATGCTGACATACGTAGAGTGCAGCAAAGGTCAGTCCCTTGGTCACTGATGCTGACCGGACAAGACGCTGCTTTGGCGCTCTGCCCTTTCCAGTGCCATCAACAATCCACTTATTGTACCTCTGCCCTGCTGAACTCATTGTACCTCAACCCGCCCAAACACCCTTCAAAACACTTCAAAGATCTTCAATATCCGGTAGCGATACTCCACATTCCCTCAAACCTGCTGAGAGTACCCTCAGTAGTGATTCATGAAGTTCACTGCCAACCCCCTCCGTTTTGCAGGAAATGCAGGTCAACCATGGCCAACCAACATTTTTCACCTGTTCCTCTTTGAATGGAAACAGCAGTCCCTCAAATAGGTCTTGCAGGCAATCCACTTTTTCCTGAGTAGGACTGAGTTCCCCAGCTTGAAAAACCCTCAGAGTCTGTGAAAAAACTTGTTCCATCTCTCCTTCCCCATCCAGCCCCGACTTCTGCGACGTCACTGGTGTGAAGGCTAACGCCTGCGCCACCCCACGCCAAGCTGACACTGCCAAGCTGCCACAAAGTAGATGATCGAGGCCCTTGTGGCGCAGGGTCTTAAGATCTCCGTGACCTGTCCGACGGCAGTTAACGGAATTTGGGATCGAGGAGGACGCCACTGCAGCCATCTGCAGCCCAACTAAAATCCACTCGGATGAAACGTGGATCGATCATGATCGATCGATCATCCGGACAGGGAGTGAGTGTATACTTCTCTTGACCAAGTTGACCATCCCACCGGACTTCTCGAGCTCTATTGCGGCGTCCTTCAGTGGAAAGCCCGCAGTGTGTGACCTACACAGCTCCGCTCATTTCGTCCGCTGTCATCCCGTCATCTCTCATCCTAGCGGAATCTGAAGCCTTCGCCGAGCTCGCCGAGCTGGATCGCTGTCCGATTCGCGATCTCAGCGCCTCGTCGATCTCCTTCATGGACTCTTCGGCCGAAGCCATGCGCTCCTGCCATGGCAGGGCCCGGGCATCACGGCGAAACGCGGGCGAAACAAGAGGGCCTGACGAGGAGAGTCATGTCAATTTTTTCGCACTTCACCGTGGAAGGTGGGCTTTCTGGAAAGTGGAACAGTACTGATTAGAATGCACCTAACATCCGTTTGAGATTGAGGAAAGCATCTTCAAGTCTTCAAAGTGGCTTTGTTAAGATCATTTAAGATCCCAACCAATAGACAAACGGACACCAAAGTGCTGGAGGTGAATGCCCTACATTTCCATAATTAGTGTCGCTGCCTCTTTTCCCTTAGCTATGACATTGCTCGGGAAGGCTGTGGCATATCATGGTCCCTCATCGTGCGAATGGTAGTCAATGTCACCCCACAAAACCTCCAAAGCAGGTACTCATGGTAGACCCTGAGAGGCACAAAGGCATACAAGGACCACGTGACCACGTTTCAGTACTCCCATGAGGAGCACATGGACGCCGCAAAATCACTAGGTTGTAGTGGAAAATGGTTGAAACCACACCTGAATTCTGAGTGTCGCCACATGTCGCAACCATCTGCAGTCTTTTTCCCCAGGGACCCATCCAGGCGACCCATCCAGGCGACCCCTCAGTCGCCAGGCGGCAGTGCCTTGCAGCTGTCTCCAGTCTGCTTGGACCTTAAGAACTCACTCGGCAACTGGATCCCTACAGGGTCGTCTGAGTCGACCCCACTGAAAACGAACATGTCGTCCCTGAAAACCACGTTTGTGCAGCGACAAGAAAAAAACCGTCGGACAGAGGATGCCCGCCTTCAACCCGGGTCCATGTTCATATTGTTTTTTCGGGAGTGTATGTTTTGGCTATGAGCCATTAGGGTGCCAGGAACCTACAAGAACATTGCGGTCTTCCTTGGTATTGCAGGACTTCTTCCTTCGGGATTCACTGCCATGGCGGTCACCAGAACATGGGCACGTGAACGGAAGGTTCAATACTTCTGAGGACTGACTGTTGGATCTGAGAGCCCTTGCACTCTGGGTAATTACTGTTGCCTCATCCCAGTTGAGCCAACCAAAAAACCTTTGCCACGTCGACTCAAGCCATGCCCCCGCGTGTTTCCGACCACACGCCATCCGGTGCGAACGCTCCATGAAGATGGCCCCGACTGATCCAACGTCACAATCAGCGTGTCATCCGCCAACAAGTCGTCGCCCGCCTTCATCGGTGTCGACCGGTCGAGCGGGTCCAAGAGCCACTATATGTATTGGAGGTCCATTTGAATCCGAAGCCTGGAGTATGTGCTTTGGAACCCAGTGTGGTGATCAATTCGGCCAAGCCAGTTTACTTCACTTATACGGTTGTTGTGTATCGTTGTTTCAGGTTGTTTCAGTTCGCACCTTGGTTCTCATCTCTCTTCCACCCAATTCTACCGGTGCCTCGCTCAAGAGCTTCAAGATCAACTGCTCCAGGCGGTCCATCTCGGCCTTTTCGCGCCGAAAAGGGTCGTCCGATCTTCTGGACCCTTGGAGTATGTTGGAGTCAGCACGAGCATCCGATGAGCTGGTATACCAATGGAGTTATGAACCATCCTACTATGAACCATCCGACATCCTATTGGAATTGATCGATCAAATGAGTCCATGAAAGCCCCAGTTCCATTCTTTGCGATCCATTTGGTCTTGTGAAAAGAATGGTTCTTCTGAGTCCTGAGCTGGACAATGCTGGAACGTATACCGTCGTTTTGAAACGTATCATGTACCGTTTAAACAATGAGGACTGGAAACACATATTCTGTTGGGTCATGTTTCATGTGGCCTGAAATAACATCCCGACATAGGACTCACCACTTTAGGACCCACTCCACACCCGTCGAATGCGCACGTCCAAACACCTTCCGCAAGACCATTGGTGTCGTAGTGTAAAACCCTTAGTAAAATAATTGTTGTTTGATGTTGTTTGGTAAAGCCTATTAAATAAATGGTGGTTGGAATCCTAGCATACCACTAACCCCGCTTAACCCCACCATCCACCGGCCAGCCCCGCCGGTCGCCAATCACCGCCTTGTCTGCAGCGATCTGGACGACCAAATTCGCACGGAGCTCGGCCAAATCGGGCCGTTCGTTCTTCACCACGTCTGCCACCAACTGGTCCTGGGAGAGCCCGTTGGTTGACACAAAAAAGGATCAAAAAGGTGCTTTTCACTCTGGTACTCTTCTTCCAGAAAGCAGCAGTGCAGTTGATCGTCTCATCCTTGGGTTGAATTTCTTCAAAGGTGACAGTAGTACACAGTACTCAGCAGTTCTTATGCAACCATCAACTCGCTGCTTCTAAAACAAACACCCCCCCAAACCCCGTTGGTCACCAACACTCCAGCTCTTGGAAGCACTGGAACAGCACCCGAGCCGAGCACGGCTTCAGCGTCTCCTCCAAGCCCAAAAGCGTCACGGTGAAATTGATCACGGTCACCTAACAGGCGAACCAAGTCGCGTCAGCGTCACAGGTTCTCCACGTGTAGCAACCAAATGAGAACAGCAGTTTTCTGAGCAACATGGGACATGTCAGGACTGTGCATGAAATGAAGTAGTCACCTTCAACAACATGCTACCCGTTTCATCCCTTTGGCATCCTTTGGATGAAACCAGCTTAAACGGAAAAATTATGTTTCTTCAACAAACAAATTGAAGCCCTTGATGTAGGCGCTAGCGGAAGCATGGGAGCACCTGGTGTACGACCCCTGTGTGCTTGTAGCTCAAGGGGCCACTGTCACTGATGAAATTTGACAATTCGATCCAGAACAAATGGATCTTATCCTGCAGTGGGAAGTCATGTGGCAGTTGGCGGGATGGTATCTATTTAATTATGGCACGTGCAAAGGTCCCTCTGCTAGGGTACCAGAGTAGCAACGGTGCGTGGAAGTGGAGCACCCTGGGGGAACTAGCAGGATGATAGGTTTCTCACCCCAGACTTTTGAATATATACGTTCAAGTCACACTAATGCAATTCAAGACTACACTATTTTCTCAGAAACTGATTCTTGTTTGGATGTTGCTAAATATGTTGCCACCACAGTAGTTTGTGTTGTTCCTTTTCTAGCCCGCTCTTACTTCAGTAGATTGGCGGGCCAATCAAGAATGCACCACTAGGCTGCTTCAAACCTTGGCTTCGGAAGGAATTGTATATAATATGTATTGTTCAAAGATAAAAGTTTTTGAACATATGTATATACCCTTCAATGCATCACACTTGCTGTGATTAACTGGCTCAACAAGAAGTTGCGCTTCTTAAAGCTCAAAACCCTTCCCCCTGGAATCCTACACAGTTAGACCTGGGACAGTGTGCGCCGTGCGTGTGGTCATGAAAAATCACCCTGAGGAAGCTTATATTGCTATAGAATACTACCTGATGCAAATTGTATGCAGGTGTGATCCTGTGAAATCGATCCGCAGGAGACCTAACATGATCTGACAGCTTTAGAACACATGAATTAAGTAAGGCATCAACTTGTGTCTGAATGAAGCCACAAAAAACAAGGTTTCACGTCCCTACGGGCCCCCCCGTCTTCGTGTGGGCAGGCCCATACGAAATGGCGTTTCGAGCCTTTCAAAAGTCGAAAAAACAGTTGTAGCGGCCTTTTTTCAGCCGTGGTCGGCACGCTCTCAGGTGTTTTACAGTCAAGCGCTTCGAAAGCAGCGGCACCATGCAAGTGCACCATCTGCACACAACAAAGAACCTGCTCGAACATTCCGAAACAAGCCTGAGGTCACTATATCAGCACACAAAAAGTCTTTTACTTTTACACCGAGAATCGGGTCCTCCCGCGAACCAGCGGCCCGAGATGTTTTTTGCGGCGCGCTCATTGTCTGACATCCGGCTGCCAAACTCAAAAAAACAACGCCCGACGAACACGCGACTCGACGAAACCACGAACCGACGAAAAAACGAAACGACCCAAACACGAACCGACGTCATTTGCCCCCCCCCCCCCCCCCCCCCCCCCCCCCTGAATGACTGTTGGAACCCTGTCTGCTTCAAAAACGTGCAAATTCACGGGGGCCCGTACGGACGTGACACCAAAAACATGGGCTGCCTTAATGCAAATCTCCGGCAGGTAATGCGGGTTGGCCATCTTGGTGGTCACGAAGAAACGGAAGTCATCATGGTAAGGCCTCAGTGGTCGATGGAGATGTGTCATCGATCCTGAGAAGTTACTCAAACACCTTTGGCAGGGTTTCTTGAAAGCTTCTTCGGGGTCAATATAGTAGTATCTCCAGTATATCAATATAGTATCTCTAATATATTTACACAATATCTCTTTTCCATATACAATATTATACAATATACCTTCGATTCCCTTCACATCAAGTTGAAGACCTGTGAACCCCACCACGCGCTTTGTAACTCATGATTTCTAGGCCTCATCCAGCCTGGGATGTTTGCCTTATGGAGAACCGAATGAAATATCGAAGTATGACGTTTCTGTGGAGCCGGGCCTCTTTCTTTCGCATGACCCGTGTTTTTCCGGTCGTCACCAAGGAGGGGTTTCATCTGATCCACTGCCTGGAAGTGGAAACCACCTGGAACATGGTCTTTCATGGGTCTTTCTCCAGCGTACCGCGTCCCATTTCGGGCACGCGGTCTCAAAACCGGAGCCAGCCCTGAGCTTCGAGCACATCTTCACTTCCAAGCCGGAGCAACCACTGGCCACCCTTCTTGAAGACCTGATTTCAGGTTCTTTCAAGGGCACTGCTGGAGGGAAACCTGACCACTAAACAAGCAAACTCTGAGATTGTTCTCTTAGAGGGAAGGGATAATGTGTTTTGTTATAAATACTGTAGCATAATCATTGGTAGTCTATCAACCTGTTCATGCTAGATATGCGGGAGCTAGTTGCGTCTGAAACCAGCATCTCTTGATCTGCTGCATTCCTCCATCTCGGCTGGTTGCGCCACCGCTTCAGCACTTCGAACCCGTGCGGTGAGCTACCACCACGCGGCCACGCCTGTTTCAGGAGCACCGGTTCCAACGAGGGATCCAAGACTTCCTCAACGTTCTCCAACAAGACCGCGTTCCCTGGCCCCGAAGAGCGATGGGAAACGGAGCGATTCGAGCTGCGGGAACCGGACACAGAAACGTCGGACACTTCGGGGTCTTCAACGAAGAAGTCGCGCTTTTCGGATGCTAAAAGGGTGGACTGAAACCTGGCAGGTGGTGACCCAAGGTGGGAGGGTGCTGGTAACCTGGTAGAGGATCAACAACGACTAGCAAGAGGGTGGGGAACTCCCGTGGTCACTCCGAATGGCTCCCTGTGTATTGGGGAAGATGGATACCCCTGGCTCCTCAGCTCCCCCCCTGAGCGACAGCTAGATTATTTCCTGGTCAACAAGGCTCAAAACTGCCAGGAGGGTGGAACACACTACGGATGTCCTTCCGCGGAAGTCTCCTGTTCGGAGAGAAAGAAAAAGCAGTCACCACCGGCTCCTTACGCAGGCTGACAGGTTAGTTACTTGCTAGGCTTCATCTCTCTTTCAGCTACGGTGATAGGCCAGCTGCGCACCATAGCAGTCAGCATGTGCAATTGCATAGTTGGTCATCATCATACAAGTCTGGCCGGTCCATACTCGGGGTCACAAGATCCTTGGCCCGATGCTTGTCTAGCTCAAAGGGTGATAAGTCTTCAAAAAAGGTGGTTCCATCATTCCATCCCCAACCCGATAGTGGTCTGGCATGGAGATTTTGTTATTATATGTTTATAGAACATGTTTTTTACAACAATTAACTGGTCATCTCGTCTGAAGTCATCTCAACTTCCGCCAGCCAGGTGCATGGAGACCAGCTATCGTAGTCTCGTGAGCCAGATGTGTCTTCTTTGCATCTGAGACATGGTTTGTCCTTTTGCCCCAGCCGCCCCTGGCAAGCACTAAATATTTTAAAGCCATCTAGCAAGGCCAGCGTGACATGTTCATTACGTTCCCAAAAACATCAGGATCCCAACAACCCTTCATTCCACATCATTCCTCATTCTTGGAGCAAGTGCACGTGAACAACACTGTGAACAATGATATAGCAAGCACCTCATCCTGCAGCCTACCACGTCCCTCTGCCAAACACTCGCGACCCACCCAGGCCCAGCCCCACGCGACGCGGAGCCACCCGTATCTCTTCGGGCCTTCGCGGATGCAGTTCTCCACGGTCCGCAGGAAGTTGGGCGTTGAGAGTTTGATGATGCCCAAGCCGCTGTCCTGGGCATCCCCAACACCCAACACCCCTATCTCACCTATCGATTTGATGCGATGGGAATCCCCTGATGTCTCGATGTCTCGATGTCTGAAGTCCGATCCCCTCCAGTCAACGGCGTCGTGGGAGATGGCCCAAGGTTCTCGTCTCGTTAGGCCGGGCGCCGAAGAGTTTCGTTCGCATGTGGAGACCTCTGAACTCCAAGATGCTTCAAGAAGCTTGACCCATTCAGGTCCCTCCAATCACTATGAAAAGCATGTCTGAAATGCCAACAATATATATATATTGAATCAAACGGAATCAGACTTATATATATATATATATAGGATTATATAGGCAGTTCCTCAAGGTATTGGCCGTTGTGCCCAGTAGCAGAGTGCTGAATGATGTCAAATAGGGATTCCACTGATCTCTACTGGTTGGCGCAGGCCATCTCCAAATCTGCGGCCGAATCCACGACCAGCTCCACTCCAAGAAACTAAACCTCGCCAAAGCGCTTATATAAAGCGTTTACAAAAATACAAACACTCACTTAGATCTCAATCAAACCACCCCATATGAAGGACGTTTTACCATCCAAATCAGGGACGTGTTAGTTTCTCAAGAGTCTACGACCATATTACCATTTTACCCTTTCACCATCCCCGGTGCCATGACAACGGTTCTAGTCAAACACTCCCCCGACGTCCGGGCGGACCCCGGCGATCCGCGCCTTCTTCATGTTCCGGATCCAACGATTTCCTTGCCCCTGCGGATCGATCATCAACGGCCACCGGCGACCTGAGTCCGAGCCGGTCGAGACCGGACGTCGCAGACGCCGGCACCGCAAGAGATGGTGCACGGTGTGAAACGCGACAGAAATGGGCCCTGAGGAGATGGTGGGAGGCCCCTCTTGTTGAGTATCGGCACAAGATGGCACAAGGGACCCTGAGATAGGCACTGGGTCTGAAAGATGCTGAGATTGTTTGTCTCAAGTAGTCGAACGCTTGGATGCCGTGGGATGCATGCTGAAGTTCCGATCTGAGCGTTCATGCAAGCCAAAGAAATCGCAATGATTTGGTGAAGCAATCTGAACCAAAAACACACAGGCATCACAAAGACCTTGCAAAGCGTGATTGTTTCCAATATAGAAGTTCGTAGGAATGCAAGAACATAGGGAATGCATGATGGGCCCGTCTCAAAACACGGAGAGTCTCCGAACAAACATGACTTGGTTGATGTGAACTGGTTTGAACACACTGGTGGCTGTCTACTCTCCATCATGAAAAAAACACGTGATATGTTCCACAAATACTGGTTGAATCAGGGCCCTGTCCCGCACAAACCAAAACAACGGCACTGTACACCAGCAACTGGCGCCAACAAACTGTTGAGTGAACCCCAATCCCTACAGAAAATCGCGTATCTCCGATCTCAGGTGCTTTGCGCCATCAGAAGTGTCGCACACATCGCCCTCTCAAAGGGTGGATCCATAGGGATCCCTCCCGTCCGAAAGGCCTCGGCTTCAGCGACCCGACGCTGCGCGCGGTGGTGACGACCAGGCGCCCCGGGCCGCGCGTCACCAGGAGCCCATTCTCCACCGAGAGGTCATCCGAGGGCAAAGACCTGCGGAAACCGCGGGGTCTTCTGGTTTCGCCGCTGAGTCTTCGGAACATCGAAGTCACATATCCGATCTTCCAAGATCGCTCCAACGAAAGCAATGGTTTGTTCGTAAGTTGGACCAGAGTTGTAAGAGTTACTTACGACCAGAGTTGTAAGAGTTGTAAGTTGGATCTTTGATTAAGACCAGAGCTGTAAGAGTTGTATACATGTACTTACTTGCAAGCTGTATGACTTAGACTTAGGCCTGTCACCTGAACAGCTGGTGCCCTAGGGCGGACATGTTAGCATCATCAGGTGCCATCAAGTCGATATGATATACAGTATAGGTGTTCAATTAGATTAGGGGGACCCCCGTTTGCCCTGGCTGGGTAGACTATGGTAGACTGGTCTATTTTCCGAACCTTCCACAGGGATGAACTGAGAAGTCCCCCTATTTTAATCCACACTCATGCATCAGTGATATTGAAAGGGAATGGAAGATGATCTGCGACAACTCAACCTGAGTGACTGAAACAACATTTGGTGGATTTCCAAAGCCACCTGTGGGCTATATCCTCAGAAGCGCTGAATCGTCAACACTGTATAAGTCATTAGTCAATCACTAGGAGGGTTTGCTGCACCATGTTGCTCCTGTTGCTTCATGAAACATCTCCCCATCTCCAAACCCAGCTGCAGACGACATCTCCTCTCCACTCGGCTTGGGCATCCCCGTGGCGGAGCCCCGTGTCCACTGGGCGTCCCATGCTTGATGTTCCACTCACGGATCTCTGCCGGGTCGCACAGCGTGTCTGCACACCTCCCAAGGTCGGGCTTGGGTGGCGCGAGGTTGTGCGCGCGACCAAGCTGGTGCGCCATTCCTCTAAACGCCAAATCCATGTGTCATATTCACAAATGTCATCAAATTTCAATTTCTACTGAATTGTGTTGGCTCTCCGGTTTTTTGATTTAGCAAACTGTTGTAAGAGAGGCCATCAACGATAGGTCAAGTTGACTCAGACCCAGGTAAGACTCAGAACTTCATGCAGCCCCACAGAAGATCATATGCCCCTGGTAAAGGAGTTGTGTTCGTTGTGTTCTACCAATCATCGTGTTCAAATGTACAGTAATATCTATCATCTACAGCTCAACTCCAAATCCATCAGCAATGTGAAACTATAGTGATGGAACTACAGCATAAAACTGCTCGTTCAATCACATGATGTCTAAAGGCAGGTTTCTTTCAGAGTTTTTCTACTATCCTCCTCAAGTGACCAAGATTTGCAAGCCTGATCCTTCTTCCTTCACATTCCTCCACTGGGCACCCAGGCTTCCAACCAGGATCCGCTGTCAGATTCACCTCGAGGTCTTGGACTCAACCGTTTCGCAACTGGGGAACAAAACTCCAACGAATTAATTACCTGCCAGGGGATCGAAAAGGACTGGAAAATCACCAGATCCCTTCGCACCGAGGAACACACTCGGTGGGTGTCCTAGCCCTAAGGGTCCACGACCATCCGATTCGGATGCCCTTTGACCCCCCAAGGAAGTACTTTCAGCTCCAAGACCATCCTCAGGAGGTACCTGGACCCTATGGGTAGTATCACACACCCAAAAAGCGGATCCTAAAGCAATTGTATGCCGGTCTGCGGATCGATTTCTGCAGGTCGTTTTGGGGCGCGTCCGCTCGGCGGGTGGCGCGAAGAGCTGAGGCGAAGAGAAGCAGGTGCAGCAGGTCCAGTGGTGACGGTCCAGGTCCAGGGCCGGTTTCGGTTGGTCCGTGAAGTCCGGAGGAAATGAATTCAGGACCGGTGACCATCGGTGACCCGAGGGACCGATGCTAGGAGTCGTCCTGGATCTCCCACAGATGGGAGGGTCCCACCTCCTTGGCCTTCGCTAACCAATGGCTGATCAACCTGGCGATGACGCGAGTGACGGGGTGACCCCTCTGTGACGAGTGACGGGGTTGAATCACGGACACTCAGCCGTTCTCATGAAACAGGTCAAGGCACCCATGAAACTGATCAAAAACATCAACTAGGACAAATGGCCCGGGAGCTATAAAACTATAAAAGTCTCAAACCCTTTCTACACAAGACCCCTTCGCAAGAAAGACCGAAACACCTGGGCCATCGTTGGAGTATGCTGTAGTAATCTCTGGAATCAGATTGGATCAAACAATTACATGTTGATTCAATCCAATGGAATCCAAAACATGTTCAAATCCAATCCAAATCATGTTCATGGTTGCGGGTGATTGCGGGTATGAATCCTGTCCCAATCCATCCCGACCACAGAGCCGAAGGGACAGGGGTGTAGTCTTCGACGCGCACCCAACCACTTCCTAACTCTATGTATGGAATAGCTGCAGTTACATATGCCATTGCCATTGGTTGTGTCTAGAGCATGGAAGGTCTTCTTGGATCCATGCCGAATGTCTGAACATGAGCGGGTTGCTTCCACTCTTTTGGCCAGTGAAAAACAAAACATGACAACATGCACGGAACCTATCTATGAATCAATCATTTTCTTGAACCTGGCAAACAGAAGACACAATCTTCAAGTATGCATGAATAAATACAACTAACTATTATGATATATCATGATATATTACAATATAATAATATAGTGAAAACGCAAACCAAATGGGTACACCGGTCCCCCCAATCTGCCAGCAGAAACTTCCGAGATTCTTCGCGATGCGGAAGAAAATCAACACATTTTCTGCTCAGCGATTGATCAAACGTGACTGTCGCCTCACGAGAGTACATTGTACAACCTGGTATCCTATTTCTCAGTATTTCTTCTTCAATGACGTGGGATTCCATTATGGATGTTCAAGAATATAGGATGCTTGTATTCTAGAGTTTCAGTCTCTGGAATCAACAGGTTCGATGTTCTTTGGTCAACCTTGGATCCACTTCCTAGCATCTTTCCTTGTCTCCAATATCTCCAAAATCTATCTCCCATCTCCACTCATTTTTTTGGGACTGCCATATCGACTCATATAGACCAAACCTGGTTGGTCCGTATATGTTGGTATAAATAGCTTTCGGGGCTCCACGTAGGCTGCACCTTGCAGGTCGTCCGCTGCCCGAGCCTCGCGCGGAACTCCGCGGTGAAGGGCCCGGCGTACGCGATGAAGCCCGCGGCCAAGGCAATGTCCCCTGGCGCGAAGCGAACGACGAAAAGCGGCGCGACGACTTGACGCGTGAAGACGAAACACGACGCGACCGAGGTGATCCATGTCAAAATAGATCAAACTAGTACATATGGATGAATTATATGCCTGGGATTTCATAGACACAAGGGACTAGGGATCGACCAAAAAGACCTGAACATTGTTCATCTGCAAATGCAGCATCTTTTTCTCAGGTATACGGTCCAAAACCAAGAGATGTCCACCTGTGCCCAAATCGCAAGTTGCCCCAACCTAAGCATCGCATGTGTTTGAAGTTCACCACGCACGCACCCAGTGCGAATAAAGAGTTCCGCTTTCACCGCCCCCAGGAACCATTTCTTGGGGGATCCTAGTCAGCTACCGCCTTCGACTGTCTCCAAGGCACCCATGACGAACTTGATGTTTTTCTCCAAGATCTTGCTGGCAGCATCCCAGCGCACCGACCTGGAACAAGTGAAACGTTTTCGACTCTTTGATCTGTGGCCATGAAGGGGTTGCTTGTGCAATGAAATTTTGAACAAACACATTTGGATACAGCAATATGTTCAATGTAAAGTGGTTGGTCAGGGGATCAAAAGGGGTGTTATACATATCCAATATATATATATATATAAATACAGATATAAACCCAGCAGTTGGGTTTCATAGGCCCAACAGGTTGGTGCAAATTGTGGGGTTCAAATTGGCGTCCTGCAACCAACATTATCTTGAGACCCACCCCTCACACACCTCCTCCGTCTTGTAGGGTCTGTACGTCTGCCCGGACTGAAACATCACATGGATACTTGGGCACAAACCGGCACTATAGTAACAATATGTAACACTAGCAGTCACTAGCAATTTCACCAGCGTTGAATGATGCAGAAACCCGGCACGTGCCGAGGCGACGAACCCGAGAGAAAAGGGACAGGTGAGAATAGGAGGCGCCGAATAGGAACATGTTGGCAAGCAGGGAAGAACTGTGAGGATGAGTGGAAGACGAAGAAACAAAACATTGCAAGGTAGGAATACATAACGCCAAATAAAGCAACTTAGTAGCGGTAGCGCCAGTAGGCTAAGAATGTCAAATCTGAAATAGTAAAGCGGGAGAGACAATCAAACAAAATGCAAATTCATTCCCACGCCCGGCCTGGCAATAACAAAGTGGTCTTCGCCCAGTGTGTTTTGTAGATTTGGTTTCTTTGTCAATATTAGTGTTCTTTGTTCAGCTATTGTTGCCCTTTCAAATCCTTGCCTAACCTCTTCTGAGGTTTGTTTCCTTGGAGCTATGTCCATTTCATAAACTACACAGGCTGTGACGCTGATGACGACGATGGCTGCTACTACTACTACTACTACTACTACTACTACTACTACTACTACGAATACTACGACAACAACAACTACTACTACGACAACAACAACAACAACTACTACTACTTCTACTACTATTGTTATACTACTACTATTACACTACTACTATTATACTACTACCACGATTTTACCACCACCACTACTACTACTACTGCTACTACTACTGCTGCTACTGCTATTACTACTATTACTACTGCTGCTACTACTACTATTACTACTGCTACTGCTACTGCTACTGCTACTGCTACTCCTCCTCCTCCTACTACTACTACTAGTACTAGTACTAGTACTACTACTACTACTACTACTACTACTACTACTACTACTACTACTACTACTACTAACTGCACGCGTCCAGGCAACACATCCGTTCACAGCAAGCCAGATCTGCCATGCATTGGTTCATGTTCCCATTAATTGCCAGCTCTGTTCAAGAACCAGAGCTTACGATTTCGAAGATGTGCACGAAAGGATCCAGCTGCGCACCAAGCCAACTCAATGCTCCTTCCAGGCCCTCTGATGGGTCAGTTTCCGCAGTCAACAGGAGGCGCAGCATTCTCAATCACTGGCAATCCCTTTTGATCTGGCAAGACCATATTTTGCGATGGTATGACCTTTGGTCAAGAAAATTCATGTGCGACTATTCTATTCGTTTGGGCACAAAGATCTACCAACTGATTTTGCCGCCGATGTTCTCTGCAAGTTCGATGGGTTTAAGAACGTTGCGTCATGAATCTTTCCGACCTAAATTATCTATCCTCAATCCTCAATTGTGATGATTATGCGAGGAGGGACCGTCTCAGCGTCAAACTTTCTCCTTCAACCGCTCGCCCATAACAGCACTACCGTCTCTCGCCAGGCGGCTCATTCCCCAATCCAGCCAAAAGCTTTTCGGCCCGGCCCAGTTGCACCTGAAGGTGGACAAGTCTGCTGACTCATCGAAGTTTGAGGGAAGGACCATCCGAGTCATCCAGGAACTACTTTGGCCACATGTCTACCGTTCAAAGTATGTTTACCTCAGAATCTTGAGATGATTGAATCGATCCCTACTTCTCACAGCAGCCCCAACAATGCTCCTCTAAAGAGCTGGCGGGCTAGTGGTCTATCTGCTCAAAGATACGAACGGGAAACGTATCAAAAAAAAAACAGTATAATCGTTCAATCGTTTTCGTGTTTAATGCTGGATAAGCCGGCTGTATACTGGATGATGTTGAGTCTTGACCGTTTTCGTGTTTAATGCTGGATGGGCATCTGTATATATACTGGATCATGATGTTGAGTCTTGACGTCCTTTGACCTACGTTGGCCGGTGCATTTTTCATGCTTTACATGTCTATCTTCTTGTTGAAACACACAGAACTCCTATGAGTTCCCTTGTGATTATACTGACTGCTGAAAACACGGTCTGTTGGGCTATTAAGAGTCTTGGCTAACGGCGATGTGCCACATAACTGGCCATTGCAATCATACGATGCCCGTGAAGTACATTCACTGCAGTAGATACCCTGCCTCCAACAACGGAAGCGGAAAATTCCCTTGTACAGGACAACGGTATTCTCCGGCATCTTCAGTCCGGTTCGCGCTTCCAGATCCACAAAATGTCCACCAGGTTTCAACCATCACCAGGAGTTCAGGGCCCGAACCAGGCATCACCAGGCAGCCGCACCTGCCTGGTGCATCTCTCATCTCCCCAGCTGCCCCGTGGACGTTTCGCACCGCACGCAGGTGCCATGAGCTCCGCCTCCCCAGGTGGGTTTCGCATCCGCGCCTTGCAGGTTTCGGCGTCTTGCTCCAACTTCTCCGCCTTACTCCTCGGGTTCACGTGGCTCGGGTTCACGGTGCGAAACGAAGCAGCGAACAGGGAGGGCTGAAGAGGCGTGAAGATGGGTATAAAATAGGTTCCTTCCATGGAACAATCACCTCCTGGTGTTTTGAGTGGTTTGTGTTTTTTACGGTACTTAGCCTTAGCAAATGTGATTGGAGGTCTGGAGGCATGACTTGGCCATACGCGAGATTCACGTCCAATGGTTGGGGGATGTCACAGGTATGTAGTTTGACATATTTGGTTTAAGCCTGATAAGCCATGGCTCAACAGAAAAATGGGATACCGTGCAGCTTAGGGGCTTTACTTTTGTAGCCTCCATGTAGGCTCACACTCTCTCTCTCTCTCTCTATCTCTCTCTCACGCAAGGGAATCCAGCCGAGCTCGTACTCCCCCACCTCGCTCGCGCCAGCTGCATCTGAAGTCCAGCCACCTGAGCCAGCTGTGTTTGAAGTCTGGCTCCAAAGACTTGCCAATTCCTCTGTCCAATCCGAAACACTGGCAGGACTGGATTTTATTCATGGACGCCCCGCACCAAACCACCCCAACCTAGGCAAATATGGCAGTCCCATGGAGTGTTTGGGATGCAGCAAAATTCGCTTGGCTCTTCAGTTCGTGACCTCAGAAAGGATCAGTATACCTGACCTGGTGGAGCTGGCTGTGCCAGGTCTTTAAGTCGCTGTGGGTGAATACTCGTCAATAGAAGCAACTAGTAACAAGAAGCTACTTGGGGCACCTGGCCTTACTACTAGGAGCAACGACGCTACTAGGGGCTCCTGGCATCGCTACTAGGAGCACTCTTACTACTAGTATATAACAAGATGCTTATATAAGACCTAAGACCTTTCGCTGAACTCTCCATGGCACGAACTATGGCCCGACGATTCAACCAGCAAAATCCAAGCACCAAAGCGCCGTACCGACGCAGCTGTGGAGTCCTTCTGAGACTCTGATCGCTCTCTGAAAGTCTATCTACTCATTTAAGCAGGTCAAGCTCGCTCCCAAGCAGGGTGATCCTGATCCAAACACAATGAGGGCATCTTGGGCTGCCCAAACGTTGTCTTGGACAGCCTTCAATTCCTTCTTCTTCGCCATCAACTTGTTCTCTGCTGCAGCATTGGCGTCCTGGCGAGCAAATCCTAAAAGAACGAGTGACTATATATAGTTATATCAGTTGATGACCATGGATGCCAACGGGGAGGCTCACCAAGAAGTGGAATTTGCATGAATCTTAGTTTTCTAGGGCCCATAGGTTTTGTAGGTCCCTGTCCTACTTTCAAACATCGATCTGTACCAGGGGCCCTGGTATGGTCAAAACTAGCAGAAATGCCAGAAAAAATCACCTGGCACTGTGGTCAGAGGGGCTGATCCAAACCGCAAAGACGTTCTGTCCTGGTTTTTACGGTCCACACCCGAGGTCGTCCCAGGGTTGTGGCCAACCTGTCCGCCTAGCGTGCACAACAACCGTCTTCAGGACAAATTCGAGGAAGACATGCAGGTGAAATAGTGTGGGTCGTAGAGAACGACCCCCCAAAAAAAGAGGCATCCGGAAGAGGAACTTACAGGATATCTACTTCCCCGAAATGTTTCGCATCTATTTTTATTCTCCCTCTGGCACGTGACTTCCACCGGTCCTCTGCTTCTTTCAGTTTCTCTTTCTTTGGCTCGATGGACCGAGCCACACGGGCGTACCTGTTTGGAAACACACCGTGACTTCCTCCGGTCGACCGTAGATGTTGAGGGCACTCGAATGTATACAGGGCATGTCCGACACTTGGGAGAAGAAACACACTGCCCTTCAGGTTGTGCTGTGTTTATTTTTACACACACATATAGATGACATAGACATAGCATAGAAAATATTGTACAGACAGTAGAAACTTGCAGCTTCCACTGAGATAGGTCGAGATAGATCATCTGTGTGAGCCTGAAGAGAACTTGGATTCACCTAATGCCTTCAAGTATCTTCTAAACCGCAACCACGTAAATCAAAACAACACGTCAAGATGCTGCATGATTGCCAAGTATGGGTGTCAACCAACATCTAGCAGTCCCTCAACAACAAGTGGATACCAGTGAACACAAATCAGGCAGGTGACATGTTGGAAAACTGAATCGGCAAGCCGGTGCACCCATATATCAAAGCAAATCTGACACCGTTTTTGCAACATATTCCAGAGTGACCTGTTTTTGTTCCAAATTGTGTTTACAAACCAACCCCTGACATCAAACCTGGCTTTCAAACTTTAAACTACTGACAAAATGCATCGGGTCAAAGAACTGGAAGGTTCCCGAGTGAACATGACCTGCGCAGAACAACTAAGCTATACAGGTGCTCATGAAGTAGACTGGGGACCAAACTGATGTGCACACACACGCGCACCAAATAGACCATCCTCTCCCTCTTGTTCGGCCTGCGCAACCCCGGCAGCACGAACTCAGTGGGACTCGGCGTTTCGGCCACTCCTCAACTCTGTGTATTTCAGTGAAGCGGGGCACACGTCCATCGCTCGCACCCACATGCACAACGACATAGCGGCTGTGGAGACTTTCTTCACCTCTACAGAGCAAAGCACGACAGGGATGGGGAGAAAGAGGTAAAGAAAAGGACCAGTCGGTGTTAAACCGCTGGTTCAAACAGTCAAAGTATGTCAAAATATTGAACATCTTACTTCAATGACGTCAACTATATTTAATCTATATGTTAAGATTATATAAGGGTTCCAAATTAGAGACAGGCTCAGGTAGTCCAAACCATTTCGGCGGGGAACGTCGGAAACATGTCAACAAATAAATTTAAAGGTGTATACAGGAGACGGTACTCAAACAGCACCCAAACGGGCAATAAGTCGGTGAAACAAACATTGCAGTATATATTGATTCGGTACACAATGTCGAACGAGGTGGAAAGCATCTATCTATATGGTTCTGTGCACACTGACCGTTCAATAATTTGCACTAATTCAAAGAAGGTCTTTCAACGGTGAACATTAAAGGCACGAGGTCTAGGCAAGGTATGCGACGAAAAAACTGAACTCTGTTTGGTACTGAACATGGGTACTGCACCCGCGGGGTCACGTTCCATTTTCTGGTCACAAACTGGGGTCTGCTGTGTGGCGCGGGAGCGCTTTGGACTTAGTCGCTAGGGCTAAGTAGACAGCAGAATAATTTCATATGTTCAAGGCCGTAGAACCGTAGGGCCACGGAGCTGAACTTCAAATAGAAATACTGTACACTGCACATCAAAACGGCAAAGAGTCCTAAAACTTTTAACCGTTCGGGCTGTTTTGTGGCCCGTATCCTTTTTGCCTTACCGTTGCTTTGTTCTCAAGTCAGGTCGTCCAACGAACGTGTTGTTAACTTTTTGCTCCGTCCAAGTGAACAGCGCTTCTCAGCGAGACAGGGCTTTTTCTGTGGTCACCATGAAGTCTTTCACATTCTGATTGGTCCATCTCTATTGCCATTGCCGACACCATGTCTTCAATGTAGGGTTCAACACACCTGAGTTTGAGAGGGATAACAATAGATGCATGGGTAAAACTCGTACGTCTTGTGATTCAGGTTCTACCTTGTAAGATGGTTGATGTACTTCGCTTGTGCCAAGGCATGCAGCCCACTCTTGGAGGCCAAGCGGTGCCACACAAAGTCTTGAAGCCACGCCAAGCTGCGTCGATGTTCCTTGTGTGCACATGCACTGCTTCGACCGGCGTCTGGCCTGCAGCGCACAAATTGTTAACGATCATGCACTGCATTATTTTTCAGCACTGCAGCACAGGCCTTAAAAGCATTGATTCCACGGTCATCACTGCACTGGTTGTGCTTCATCCCAAAGTCTTTTGCCCAACCAGGATAGAGCCAGGCTCCATCGGTGATGCGCACAGACTCTTCAGAATTTATCTGGCGGGAGCAAGAATGCGTTCTAGACTTTGGACTGATAGCTTTCGGCTGTGTCCCCACCAAGCCGCAAGTGGGTCGCATCTCTGGTAGCTCCGGGGCGAGGTCGCTGGAAGAGACCGAAGAGCTGCGCCCAGGTGCTTTTCTTCAGCTTCCATTTTGCCTCGATTTGTCCTTGTAAAGTGGAGTGTGCGTGCCTCTTAGCAGGGCACGCTGCCTGTTTGCTTCAAAGGTGCTTGAACGCGTGACTTCCCAGAGTTTCTGTAGGAGCCACCAGTGCATGCCCTTCAGCACAGCGGCAGCCGGAGCTTCCACAGATGGGAAAACTTGCGGGACGCTGTGCGTGGACATCTGCAAGAGCATATTTTGCCTCGATCCGCATATTCTTTCCAGCACAAAGGTCTCAATTTTCGACCGCAACCACAGAGGAGTCCATGCCCAGCCTGTCTCTTTCAACTTATAGCTTGCCCATGCTTCCAAACTTCTTGAAGTCTTTCAGATCCAGTGGCTGCCTCAATCTGCGGCACAGCACGATGCGTTGTTTCTTTCAATGCTATCTTTTTTCTGGACCCCTTCTGCTGCTTATTCCCTGTATTGGAGTCATAAACAGGCGCATGTCTGCTTTTTGTTTGTCGACAACGCAAAGCCTTGTGGCCTCCAGGAAAGGTAGCGGCACTTTCCGTTTGAATCTGCTTTGGGCAACTCTTTGGGTAATGCCGGTGTTTGCAACAACAAGTGCACTGAGGGTTACGACTCGGCATCAGCAGCCGCATCGCTCAACTGCGCTTTGCACAATCCCACATCGGAAATCGGTGACCATCAATATCTTATTGGCTCCAGTATGCCACTCCCGCGGCGGTTTCAATAGCCCTGGATCAAGGGCTTACCGCGACAGGTCTCAAAGTAAGCTGTAGAGCTGGCGCGCAAAGCTGTCAATGAGAAGCTCCTATGGTCCTATGGCCCGCAAGACTTTTCCAGTGTGGCTTTTGAAACCACACCCCCAGATGATCAAGAGCATCTACGTTTTTTTTTTTGCACGGAAAGGGCCACACTTCTGCTTCCGGCGCACAATCTTGGATTCACTGCACCAAACGCGGCTCAGTCTAGGCTTGATATCGCATGGATTCAATGCCAATACAAATGCTGGAGCCAGGAAACCTGAAAGCGCTTCCCCCACAAACGGCCCCAAAGAAGCCACTCCGCCTCCTCCCCGGTTAGCATGAGGGACGCAGCAGTCATTGGCCAAATCCCATGCAGAAATCTCCAAAGATGAAGTCCATGTCACGATAGTAAGTACTCGATGGCGTGAATGCGCCGTAGCTCATCTGGGCCTGTTCCAGGCACTGCAGCGATTCAGCCAGCTCTGCGCCCAAGCTCCCACAGCTCGGTCTCCACCTGGATAGAGCAACGCCAGCGTCACATTTAGTAGCTGTCCCACGTTGCTCGGAACTTCTTCCACCGCAGGTAAACTGTTGAGGCGCCACCGCTGATACTGACGTCTTAACTCTAATTTGTAATAATTTGTATATCAATTATCTCTAGTTGGGTGTCCAAAATCCCCCAAAAAAAGCTTTTGCATGCTTTTGCAGGTATTTAAGGTATTTATATACTTTCTTCCTGTCTGACGGCCAGGCACCCCAAAAAGCATCGACCCCCGCCACCACTGCCACCACGACCACCCCGGAGACCGCTCCGCCATTGCCCGACCACCATCGACCACCCCCGGAGACCACCGGAAGCATGGCCTGGTCGGGCTGGAAGTCCTCGCGCTTCACCTGGCTCCAACGATCCGACACTCATTGGGGACCGGAAGTGAGCGGCCACCGCTTTCAAGACCCATCTTTCTCTCTACTGCAACTGTGGTTGGGGGTCATTCTGCAGCAAAACTCTTTAGACCCTTGTAAAGCCGGTGAAGTGTAGATGACCCCTAGGTCAAGGATTCTTGAAGGTTCCGTTATGTTCCGTTCCTCCAAAACCCTCACACTCCAAAACTCCTAGGCCACTGTCTTGGTCGTTAGGAGCCTTCAAGATCCCTTGCAGGAGCGCCCTGTTCTTTTCTTACTTTGCGTTGGGATTTCTCTCGTGCAAGCAATAAAACCCTGAAGAATACAGGTGTGCGGTGTGCCGCTCTGTTCGCTGAGCATGGACCTTTGTAATTAGACGTCCGAGCTATTAACTGACATCAATAGAACTTGAAGATCAAGCTTTCTTCCAAAGGATGCAAACTAGGATGCAAACTCATCAAGAAACCCGTGCCTTTCAGAATGTCAACTCAGATCTGACGTCTGACTGCACATCACGATCCCAAAGACCCCTGGCTCCTTCTTTAAAGCGTATCAACCAACTTACACCACTGAAAATCAATGCATTAACGTTCAAACACTGGTCAGAACCGAAACAAATCCAAACTTGACTCAGGCTCAGGTATGTGTTTTGCTTGTAAAACCGTAAAACCTGTTTAACACAAACTTGGAATCGCCAGGTTTGTCCACTTCTTGCGGCTAGCGACTGAAAGAACACCGGACACGGTTCCGGACGGGTGAAAAGTAGATGGCATGGGCTTCGAAGAAGATGACTTAGTAACAACTAACCTCTATACAAGGAAATATGCAAGGACCATAGATACAACCAGGACCCTCTGTATAAAGAACACAAACACATCCCCATCTTCCTTTGATCCTTCTTAATATAGAGATAAACATATATATATATATATGTGTGTCTTCTTGATGAGAATGTGCCACATACATCCACGCACGACGCATACCATGTGCGAGAAGACATCGGTCGCTGGGGATTCCGACGTACTTCTGGAGCTTTTGCGTCAGCTTGACATTGCTGGCCAGAGCGTCCTGGCATCTCTGCACAAGCACTTTTTGCAGGTCCCAGTGTCCAAGTGAAGCGTGAGAAAGCACGTCCGTGAAGCGTCGCATTGGAAAGGCGTTTTTGGTTCCCCGACATCATTGGCTGGGCCAACACGGAGAACGCCTGGCCCCTTTTCAATCCGAATTCGGACCTTGTTCAATCCGGTTTGACCAGTTCCAGCTGGTGAACTCACTCCACTTCCACCATGATTCATGGTGCACATGCACATCATAAAGGCAAACCATAGAACTTCATAATTAGTACGATGCGATACGAATGATGTAGCTTCACCACTTTTGGACTGTACATACCAAGAGAGGTTAAGTGACCTTATAGGACCCTACTGGGATACCTATGGGATAGTCTATAGGGTCTTTCAACCTCTGTTGGTATACAACAGAAAACAACGAGAAGAACATCGCAAACCATCCAACGCCCATTGGCGAACTCGCACACCTCATTGGCGGTTGGCGGAGTGGTCATGTGCTGGTATCTGGTGTCTATTTCGTTTGGTTTGGTTGTTTGCACCTTTCAAGAAACAGCACTTAGAACCTCAAAATCATTCTGCTCTGCATGTTATTCATGTCATTTGTTTCGTTACTGGTTGGGATTGTTTGAGACTCAAGTCTGAACCCCTTCTTCAGGCCTCTCAAAGGATCGCGCCTCTCTTCACCATCGACCAAAACGAAGTCGACCACAAAACCTGAAGCATCGGCCAAAACGCATCGTCCTTGTCGTACTCCTTGAGGCTTTGTAAAAAGCCTGTGTCGTTCATCACCTTTTTGGCCTGGCCGAACAGCATGAACATGCATGAAATATAGTTATACACAGAAAACAGCTGATCATGGGGGGTTGTACATATTATATAAGGAAGCATTCTTGTTTCAGAGAAGAGCATGGTTCGAGGTTGTTCCTTCTTTTAGTTTCAGACTATGTGTCTCGAGACATTGCCTTTGGATGTTCCTTCTTCTGGCTTCACAATATTACGTTCTTTGAGGAAACAAATCGATCTTCACAATTCTTCACACAAAATCAAAGGCTCAGCTCAACAAAGGCTACGTTCTTGTGGCTCAGGTCCTAGCGCTCCCTGCTAGGACTTGCTGGGGTGGTTTGCTGAGGCAGGCTTTGGGGGGCACACAGATGGCCTCATCGCGACGACGGGCATGGAGTCTTGGGCGGGCCGACGAGGGGCTGGACGGTTTCGGGCCTCGTCCCAGGTCTCCTTGCGGTTCATCAAGAGGCAAACCTCAGACGGGTCATCCAGCCAGCCAGCCAGCCAGCCAGGCAGTCAGTCAGTCAGTCAGTCAGTCAGTCAATGTCTCCAGTCTTCCTGGGCAAGAGTGGCTGACTAGAGTCACTTCGCGCGTACAAAAAGGGTGTAGACACTGGATACCTTCAAGAGGCTCAATTCCCAAATGGTGGGTTTAGGGTGTAGGGGTTTGCCAAAATGGTCTGTGTGTGGGATATTGGTTCGCCAGGAGTTCTGAGGGAGGGGATGTGTGTGGTTGTCCTTCTTCAGCAAGGGTTTCTACAGCCTTTTGGGCCCAGGTGGTTTCTACATGCTGAGGCACATTCAACTCATGTGGTCCCTCTTCCTCCATGTAGATCATGGAATCGTGAACTACAGTTGGCAAACGGACTGACGGACTGACTGACTGTAAGGACCCCAAGCAGCTTCTACATCTTTCAGGCTGTGAAATGTTGCTGTCCACAAGCTTTAAAGGGAGGATGTGTCACTCATAGTTAAGGTGGATAAACATGGGCCCCATACCTTGCAGTGTATAACCACCCCACCCACATGGAATTTCACATTCAAAGACTGTGGTCGAGATGATGAACCAAGAAAAGTGAACAGTGTCTGGCCGTGACTGCTGGCAGAAGGGCTTTGCCATGGCTTCTAAATGGTTCTAAGGGCGATGAACAAACACAGCTCTTGGTCCTGAAATGTTTACATTCCGGAAGGCAAGACTGTCCAGTGAATTCTTATCGACTATCGAACTCTAAAGTAAGCTGTGGCTTGCATCATGCAACTGGCATCCTTTTGGGGGTTTATTTGCGGCTTGACCGTGCAGGCAGTGATGTAGGCAATCGGTCACTATCACTTCGCCGCGACTTTGCCTGTCTCTATCCGAGTGAAAACCTCTGCCATCGAAGTCCTGACTTCGAAGTGGAGGATACTCTCTTTCCTTCCTACTAGACTACTAGATGCTACTAGATCAGAGTTGGAAGACCAGTCAGACGTGCACCAAGTCAGACGTCGAGAACAGCTGAAGGCTTCCGGCCAAACGTTCGAACCGAGGTCTCCGCTCTTCGCCCGGCGTCGAAAGCCACGGCTTTGACCGAGGCCCACACGGCGCTCAGGACCACTTCCACCAAAGGGGGTGGTTTGGCGAAAGACTTCACCTGAGAATGGTTGGGCGGTTTGGCATCAAAAGGGTGATGAAACAACATCTATTCCATTCTATTCCCCTTGGACACCTTTCTGTTGCGAAAGAATCTACAACTAACTACACCAATTAGGAGTAAAAGGATGTCCATTGGTCGGACTACTCCATCTTTATAGAGCAATCATTGGTTGCAAATTGAAGACACGCGGCGGTGGGGTTTGATCAACCCCCGACCCCACAATGAAGATTTGTGGCACAACGTCAGGAGGACGATCCAACGGGCACCAGGAATTGGCTTGAAGACTCAGGCTGTTCATCCTGTGTCTTCTGTGAGGCGGACGCCGTCTGGAGCATGGTGCGAGATTGGCAAAGACTTGAGACACAATGCATGTACCTCTGGCTTCACGGAGGCTTGATCTGCTTGATCTGTGGAGATGGAAGCATTCCCCGCCAAGAGCTTCTTCGATCTTCGATCAATGATGAGCGGATTCCTTCAAATTAACCTCTTGAGGTATACGGCGTATAGTCACGAAGTAGCGGTGTATACAGCGATTGTTACAAATGTTGTTATCTCATTCAGCAACTGGAGTGGAATCCTTTCAGGAATCAAAACAACCATGAACCATACTCAAACCGCCCATGAAAAAACTCTTTAGAGCCGCTGTGCAAGAACAAATGAGCGGTGTCAAAACCCTACGGTCCGTTATACTCAAGATTGTTCAAACGGTTTGTGGAAGGATTTTTGCGCTTCTCAAAAGTTGAACTTTGGAAACTGAATTGATTGATTCCAGCATGGAACTCCACCAACAAAAACTGGTGAGATGCTCAAATCTGTACTTGCCCAATCGCAACAATCTAATCTCACAATCAGAAAACAACCTGAAAATGAGAAACCAGGATCCACGCCATCAGTGCTATCAATCCTGTTGAAAGGCGAGCCACCACCATCCATGACGAAACAAGGATCCACACTGGGCTGGGTGTAGTGGCTGTCAATCCAGTGCCAGGAGCCTCCACCCACCTCCGTCCCTCTCCACCTTGCCTCTTGAATATCTTTCTTGTCCAAGGAGTCCAATGCCTTGATGGCGTTGTAGTACTCCGGCAAGGCCTGATGCACAGGTTCGGCGCGCTGGTGCCACGCTTGCTGGGCCGTCTCCCAACATCCCAACAATGCATTGGGACGTATTGGGACCAGGACTCCACATCTGGTTCAAACATATGTCTCATTATATATATATATATATTACAAGCTAAGCAATGAAATAACAGCCAGCAAGCCCGAAACCCGCAACATTGAGTTTATCTGGGAAATAATGAAATAGTCCTTTATATAGATTTATAAATATAACTATATGTATACTACTCTATATACTATACTGTACTACAGTGACCTTAAGCGCTTCAACAAGTCACATAAGGTATCATAAGATCCTTATCCTGCCGGATCTTTCTTGAATGTTTTGTGAGGCTTGCAGGACACCTTTCAGCAGGCTCGAGGACTTGAAGCATGCCAGGCTGCCACACCCTTCCTTCTCTTCAACATTCCTTTCCTTCTCTTCAGGTATTCAACAACCTGAACTACGCTGGGGATCCGTCTAAGACCCAACCTGATACCCTGAGACCCTTTTCGACCCACGTCCATCGCATGATACCCTTCGACCGTCACCCGTCTTCGACCCTCAAGACCAGACCCACCGTCCGTCCGGTCCAGGGTGTCCGGTCCGGGTGGTTTCGCGACCTCATCGAGTTCCCGTTGGCACTCCGTCTTGATGGCGTTGGCCGTAGCTGCAGCCTGACTCGCGACTCGAGGCGTGGTGTTGCGTGGTGTTGGCGCTGTCTAGACAGCCCTGGCCCCTGAGATCAATGGCAGGGAAGTCACCGAAATGGGTTAGACTGACTAGACCTGGGAAGGTTGAAAACTTTTAATACTTAGAATGTGTTCAGTAACGTGGAGTAGATGGCGTGGGAAGGTCCAGGAACATGCAAACTGCTCCCACGCACTGGAAGGTCCAAGACCACCAGCCTGTTCCGGCCTCCACCGTTCTCCCAAACGATCCAAACTCAGCAAGAACGGCCGAACCGGATCTAGCGGCCGAACCGAAAGACACCAGAAAGGGATCAAGTGAAGCGATCAAAGCACCACAAAAGGGATCAAAGCACCGAAAGAGCTTGAGTTGGAATGGACTTCCATTACATAAGCGGGGGCAGTCTGTACTCTGTCCGTGGGGTTGCCCCAAAATAGATAGACAAATGCAAATATATATGGCGTATACATTCACCACCAAAAACCGCCAAAATGTAGTAGGCCAATGTAGGCCATATTTTGCATACCTGGAGTGCTTGGGATAGACAATGCGTTGAGAGTTGAAACGTGTCCCTCTTCGAACCTCATTGCCACCAATACTCTCAGGGCGAACCAAAGGCCTTTCCAGTGGGGCACAAAACGGTGGCACCCAGGTCCATCCAAGTCCCGTGACCTTCCCGGCCTCCCCCGCTTCCTTCTCGTCCACCTCACAGGAGGCTTGGGCTTCCTCATCGCGGTGCGCGGCGTTTCGTCGCATGTCACGAGATGTCTTGGAGGGCTTTTGGTCGGCTGCACCAGCAGGGGGTCACGGGAACTCCCCCTAGCTCCGAACGGCTCCCTGTTTAATGGGGATAATATATTATGATAATATGAATATCTCTGGCTCCGAATGTGGTTGGTTTCTCCTGAGCAAAAGCTAGTGGCAGCTAGTGTTCAGACCCAGGCCCGCTCCAACGTACCGAACAAAATTGCTTGCACTCCCTGGAATCATAATGAATGGTTTTGAAGATATATCATGTCCTGGAGCAAAGGATCACATGGAATATACACTTCCTCACATGAATCGAAGCGGAGTTCACCACCTGTTTCATCCCTTCGTTCGCATGGGGCGTCCACTTCCATGATGATTCCAGTGCACATACACTCGGGGTGGTTTGAGGGAATGACTGTGGCATGGAGAATCAGGGATAAGATTAAAAGTGCTCCCAGCCAACATACATGTCGGGTCCTTGAGTGCGATCCATGTCAGCTGTCACCAGGACAGGTTCATTGATATGGGAGCTTTGCCAGGTGGTGCAAAAGGTGCTATGACATCTATGCGTACCTATAAGTAATACCAGTACCTCTTGTGGCTTTGGGGGTATCTTGATCGACCAAACCATAACCCTGACAAAACCCCTCAACCGATCCCGAAACGGACTGAAACGGATCCGGTACCGGCACGGATCCCATCGGTGGTGTTCGGGGTTTGAGGGGTCAGCATCGATGCCCAAAGCGAACGAACCCCTCCTGGCACCTACATAACAGTGTCGAACACATCACCGTACCTGAGAAGGTACGACTGGATCCCAGGGGGGTCACTAACTATGAAGAACTGATGTTAGGTCCAAACTCACGTCTGCTTATCTTGCTTAAGATTTCCATGTCCCCCTCATGACCCTTCCACTGAAGAGTGGGGGTGAGAACGGAGGGGTAACTGATCGGTTCGGCCGTCCGGTCAACCACCGGTCCACTCGACATGGGCGATCTCGGGACGTAGGGGACGAGGTCGTGAGTGATTTGTGCTTGAGTCACCATCGATCTGAGCCTGAGCGGCTTTCAAAACCACCTAATTACAGGTAATATATAGATTGTTGATCATTTTTGTATACTTCAGGTGTTTCATCATAGAGGTTTTTTTGAAGTTGCTCATCTGGAAAGCCGAGCCATTCACCCACTCCAAGCATCTGAAAGGCTGCCGACCCATTGCCGACACCCGGCCCAGCCCCTCCCATGAAGAATATGGAAGTGGACAACCCCCTGTTGGTCGAGGACAATGGCCTTTTCAGGGGCGACGTACTACGTACACTTCCAGGTTTGTGGGAAGGGCAAATGATACCAAAAAGACACTGGCACCAGGTTCACCCCACAACAAAAAGCTCAAAACCTCCCCCAAAACGCGTGGCCGACCCACATGTTGTCCAGCCTGTCAGGTGGTTTTGTGGGCAAAATATGTCAAAATGAGGCCTAAGAAAAAATGCCCTGCATGGCACATCGAGTGGTGGCCACCTGCTCCGCACGTTCTCCGCACGCAGTCCTTGGCAAGGGCTTCCTCCTTGTCCACCTATCCGACCATGGTGCCACAATGAGGGACGCACCCACTGAACCGACCAGTTGTACTCAGGGGCAGTCCCACGTTTCCAGAAGATAATCAACAGGCTGGCTTTCTCAAGAAAGATCTCAAATGATCTCAACTGTCAAGTTCCCCGATCTAGTGAGATCTCGCCCCATTGTCTTGAACGGGGCGAGATCTCAAGATCGCGGAAGCCGCTTGGTGCGTGGTTTGCTGAAAGAATGCATCAAAATAGAAAGAAACAGGGACATACCTGGACCTTCCGCCCTTTTGACCGGACAAGTTGAAACCATCTGCCTGGGCCTCTCTGAGATGACTTGGAATTGATCAGGGAGCAGAGCTCATGAGCAAATCATGAAGCATCAATCAGGGAGACCACGGTGTATCTCACGCAAGTCATCTGGGAGAACTGCGTAGCTTGGAGCCCATCGCTGCCATCGCTTGGATGGCCATCGCTAGTAGTAGGCTTCTTTCAACGACATGGATCCCACACCCATTACGAAGAAGCTTTACATCGATCCCAGCGCCGAGCCCACTCTGGCTCGGCGACGGCTCGAGCGCGGCTTTTCGCACGACGTAGTTGGCTTCTTTTGGGGTCTGACGGCAAAAGACACAGGTCGCCGTTGTGCTTGGAAAAAGGCACGACCAGCGCGGAGTTCGTTTGAGGAGGCTGCCGCATGTTGCCGCCTTAAGCGGAGCAACTTGGCCCTCTTTCTGTGTTCAATCCTCTGTACTCAACGGCTACCCTGTTTCTGTGTGAACACAGTGTGATCATCCACCAGTCCGAGTCTTTTTTGCGTATGCCTAACGGTTTAAGTTTGGTTCATCATTGAGCATGGATGTGAGTAGGACCTAAATATCTATACTAAGTCGTATCTTCTAATATGCTGATTATATGCTGATTAAACTAAACCATATATAGAGGGTCTTTCTGAATGTTTAGAACTGATTGCATTTGGAAAGCTAGGGCCAAGGTTTGTGAAACACTGCTTCTTTGATGCCCACTTTGCTGGCATCCGTCATCCTGAGGAACGTGGCAGATCTTCATGCCTCTCTTGCCAGTCTATACACCAAGAGTCGTTGTGGAGCACTTGGGGGGCCAAGAAGAAAAGAAGCCAACATGGGTGGCTCCACATGGCTTAAATGTGAGAGTTTCGAGCATGAAAGGGCTCAAATATGGCTGACAAATGATGGTGTTGAGTCATTTTAGCCGCATGTCTTGCAGAAGGAAAAGAAAAACATGGCTCAACTACAAAAACCTGTACCAAAGGGAGTTGTTGGACTCGGGTATATATATATACACTTAGGATTTATCTGCAGATTACCGCTTTGGGTTTCAGATTCCCGCTTTGGGTTGTTCTTAAAACTTGGTGTTGGGTTGCCTACTTTGAGCTCTACCAGTTCTTTTTGAGCGTCCCCTATAAACGAAGCTCTTTCTCACAACTCATCGGCAAGCCTAAAGGCAGAAGAGCCAACCACATACCCCGACCGTCTTGGTTTCCTCGGTGCCGTCGAAGGGTCTTTGCTCGCGGCACCGGGCATGGAATTTCGCAAAGAGTTGGGTTCGGTACGCAGGTGGCACAAGCAATTCAGGCTGAGGCTGTTCTGTACTAACTTCTTCCTTCCAGCTGCAACAAGAACGGATGCAAATTGCCATGCAGTGGTTCTCAGGAAGGGAAAGTGGGGGGGAGGCATGCAATAGAGACCACAATAGTGTTCCTCCACGCTCAAAACTCTGAACACAAACATCTTGATTACAGTAGAATAGAAAGTAGACATCTATAGGATGTCATGACACTTTCACGAGACTACCATCTAAAGCACAAAGAACATGACAAGACATGACATGACACCCCTGGAAATCTCAACGACTGTTTACATTTGATTGATTGCTTGTCTTTTGTCTCTTGCTTTGTCGCTGGAAGGTGAAACACTGCAAACCAGGTGAGGCGAGTGCGGCAGCTGCCAATCCAACAGATACTATGGTATCCAAAAACATCCAAAAACTGCTCGTGATCTTTAGATGCTAATTCCTCCAGCGAGGGCATTGTTCGTGAGATCTATTGGGGCACCTTGCACAAAAAGAATGTGACTTCCTCAGTTTCCCTTGAGAATAAAGGACACCAATCCCCCAAAACGGATAAAGGTTATCGACCGCAAAGTTTTCTAGTTTGCTGGTGAGCATAGCCTGACACACTCGCCTCCCCATTCTTTTCTATCAGCTCTTGATCCAAACATCCCCATCAGACCAGGTAATGCACGGTGGGGTCGCGTTCAAATTCACTTCTCCTGCCACCCAGTCCGACGGCGTGGCGTCACCCGTGCGTCTGGAGTCTGTCGATTGATTTCGAAGCGTGCAAATGAGTCGACCTGCGGGGAAAAAAACAAACAACAACAGCATCTTCCTTCCCCAGGTTGGGAGATGAAGCAGGGAGAACCAAATGAACAAACTTCTAGCCTCTTGACGCAACACAAACTGTTCGTGGGAGTTGATCCCTTGAAGCTTGGTGGTGAATTCCCACCTACACAAATGGTCATGGCAGGGGGTCATGGTTCTCGTGTTTAGCGACTGAAGAGTCGTCAACATCGAAAAAAAGTCGGACCAAGCTGACGGTCGTTCTGGACAGAATAACACCAGAAGAGAATCGTCCAGGAAGTCAAAAGGATGGTGTTGGGGAAAGATGACTGTAGACATTTGAAGACCCTCTTTCATGCGCCTGTTTACTGCATTTGCTTCAAAAATATCCTGAGTCCCGAAGCTCCTTCTTGAGACATGTTGATCTCCTATGAGATTCACTGTCCGAATCATAGCCACTTAGTACAATAGACTCCTCATGTTTTCCTGAAAGTTTTTTTCCTTGGGATCCATCTCTGGAAGTCATGCCAACGAGGTGAACACCTTGGTCTCCACAGATGTTCATCGCCCAAATAGCTTTTACTCAGGATTTCCCACGATGACTTGGCAGGATTCAAAGGCATTCGGAATACAAACACATCCCAATCTCCCATCCCTGTGACTGGCCTGAAAAGCTGTAGGACTTTTCCTTCTCGGTGATGTTCATTACCTGATCAGGATCTTAGCACTTTGAACGACTGTGAAAGCACCTCAAATTACCTGATGTCATCAACAGACTCATCAGCAGTTATATAACAGCCTTGTGGCTTGTTCTTCATCAGCTCTGTGGAACATGAGATCTTGTAAAAGCCTTGTTCACCGACCACAGCTGTATCCTCCCCCCGAGTTCATAACCTGAGAATCACTTGACAATGCCTAACAACTTGAGAACTTGCCTTTACAAGCTTCTCCATCATCGTCCGTGATTGCATCACACTCCATCAAATGAAAACAACAAAATGAGAACCCAAGTCTTCTTACGGTTTCAACTCACGAACGAAACATATTAGCCAGTGGGTTACCATCATCCCAAGTAAAGGTTGAAATAATGATATCCCAAACCACCTAGCTTGTATTGCCGAGACCTAATTAAACAATTGCCTTTGAACGCCTGTGGCTCAACGGCTTTTTCCTCGACTTCCTCCAAGGCGCCAAAACATTGATACCGTTGGAGCTGAGCGAGCTGTTGGCGGACTTGAAGGACGGGTCCCAAACAATCTCGCCATTCTTCACTTGGGCCTCGCAGGGGGAACCCATCCCAAACACCGGGTTTCGCACGGGAAAAACGGCGAACCGCAGACCGAGTTCGTCCGTGGTCTTCCGTGTCGGGTCTGGCTGGTGGCTGGCTGTGGTTTTGGGGATGCCCGCGGCGGATGAGCGCAGTAGTGGATTCACCTGGGTTTTATTCACGAGCGAAGCCAACGCGTGATGGCTAGGATGGCCTTCAGGCAAGGATGAGGACTAAAACCCATGTGCACAAACCGAAGGATACCAAAGGACTTTCAGAATTGACTTGGAGCTCACGGGGAACTTCTCAAAAAAACAAGTCGGACATGTTCCTCCAGACGAGTTCTATGCAAGCGCAAATGAAAGATACTTAGAAAGCAGTCACAGCAGTCCACGCCCTCGCACGCAAGTCCAGCTGTACGCAGTAAACAGGTCACAGCCAAATCTGTTCTAGGTTATTTGGTTATTTTGTTCCATGGCTGGGATTCGCCCATCTGTCACTTTCCCAAGTCTGTCACTTTCAGTAGCTCTTGGCAAACAAAAACAAAGAAAACATGACACGCAAAAAGAATCTATAGACTCAATCTATCTTCTGACACCCTGCTTTCTTCAATGAGAATACAGTGGTGGTGTCCACGAGCTTCGCTCGAACATCCTCAACCCCCCCGCGCACCATGGTGCTTTTGTCGCTCTTCCTGATCCAGCTGCTACCTGTCACCGAAATGGTTGGCAAGAAAACAGCCATGGTCCATCCACGGATGAATGCTTCTATTACTTTCTATTTAGAAACATCTGACGATGTTTCTATATTTCTCGTTGAGTTGGGGGCTGTGGCACAAGCTTGGACCCCACCATTCGGCTCTTCTGAAGTCTGCTGGACGCAACCAACACGTGATGCAAATCCCAATGGCGTGTCCAAATGGTCCCACCTTCCAACAACGCACGTGCGACCCTTTGTTTTGGTCAAGTTGGACCGCCGAACCATGGGACTGGTGGGATTGCCGGTATGCCCAAACAGTCCGTCCCAAACAGCGATGGGCCCATCCTCTACCCTGTGGCTGTGGGAGAGGATGGAATTCGTAGCTGCACGTTGTAAAGGAACGCCTGGAAAAACATCGGAACCAATCGATAGACAAAGTCACCCGCAAAAAGCTTTTCCGATAGACGGATGGATCCCCACACCAGGTGAGCAAGGAGTGTGTAGTAGGCGTGATTGTGTGGTGCTGGTAAGACCCGAAAACACCGGTGAGCACCGGTGAGCAGAGATCGTCCTGTGCCAGAGCCCTAAATGTAGACTCTTGCTTGATAACCCCCCCATTTGCATTGGAAAATCATCTTCATCTGGGGGGTTTATTAATCAAGAGTCTACATGACCAAGTGAAAAGTCTGACGATCCGCCCCGGAACACATGGGTGACGTGATGCCATAGGCAGCAGCCTCCCTCCCTCGGTGCCATCCGCACCAGACAGCTCGCAGCTAGGCGCGACTGGAGCGTCGTTTGGAACCAGGAGAGGGATCAAGTTCACCGCCCGGGGCTCAGCAGCATTGAGCATGTGTACCGATGAGCCGTCTTGATGTGTGCATAGCCGGCTGCTCTCGGAGTAGGCATCATCCACAATGACAGCTCCAGCTGGTCTGAAGGATGAAGTCGCGAGTTGAGTGCCAAGGCGCCTTGTGCAGGTGGGGCATGCTGAAACGGCCAAGGGCACCACAGGGCACCCACATGCAGAATCAGAAAGTAGCACCCACGACGCAAAGGTCCGTCACATCAAGGAGCACACCTGTGAAGGCTCCAAAGCCACGATCTGAAACACCTGATGTTCACCTTAATACCCTGTACATGGGAGCTATGGCAATCTACCATCCATGGCCATCGACGGACGTCAATGCGCGACCATCCATGCTTGGCTCCAAAAAGGGATTTCCTGTTGACTGCCCAGCTTATGGTCGTTCTGGCCTTCTCAAACTGGAACAGGAACATTGATACTTTGTCAGTTCCAGCTTTCGGGCCCTGCAAATCAATAGGCCTCAATAGGCTGGTATAGGTTGTGGCACTTGAACCGTCATGAACAGTGGGCGATGGCCGAAACATCACAAAGTGATGCGCCGGCAACCAATGGTGAGGTACACGCTGGTGGTATGCCTCGCGTTCCAGAGTTTCCAGCTAGTATGGAAGGAAACATGAGGCATGATTCCTCTTCAACAGGTCCTGGAGTCCTGTATCCTGTATAACTACACACCAGGACCCTGCAACCGGTCACCACCTCCGACTTTTAAGTCTGCAAAGGCCTCCAAAGGAGACCTATTGGAAGGTGCTGGAATATAATCACCATGCTCCCATCATCACAAGTAAGTACAAAAGTGAGAATGCAAGTGCTTCAACAGCCCTGCTGTTTGACTCACCATGACAGGCCTGGACTGTGGCTCCTAGCCGCCCCTACTAGCGGTGTAATGCGGTGTGTGCTCCCCAAACCTTCAAACGCAACAAGTGCCTTCGATGCTCTCCAACAACGACTTGCCCGTGCTGGAGTCAGCCTGAGATCGCGAACACATGGCGAAAGAGCCGCGAAGTGTTCAAGCATCATTCAAATCATTGTAGGGGTCACCCAATGCGGAATGAATACTGATATACAAGTTACGCTATGTTACGCTTCTGCACATCCGAGTCTTACTTCCACGTTTTCGGAGACACCAAGGACTTTGACCCTTAGGCCTTTTGGAGGGTGCACCACTGGGCAAAAACAACACCGAGATCGTCTCACCCGTCTCACCCAACTCTGTGAGGCCTCCGACGTTTCCGGAAAAATAGTAAACTAGTTTGAGTTGGAACAGTCCTTCTTCATGCTGGATTCATGTGATTTTGTTTACAAAGGATTTGCAGGTCTAAGCTGCGAAGAATCCTAGGGCCTAGGGCAAACCTTATTTTGAACATTACATTGAACAAAACACTTTTCTAGGCTCCCCAGCATCTCCCCAGAAAGATAGCATTGAACCTTTCACATCCTTTCATGATGTGTATCGGCCACAACAAGGAGCCTTTGCGGTGCCGAGGAGCCTTTGTGGAGGAGTGTAGAGCTTCCACCAAATCTTGGACCCGAACTTGCTTGGCCATCGGCACCTTCGACCGATCGACCGGACGATGACCGGTCGACCGTCGGGAGATCAGTTGCCAGTGCTCGGTTTTTCCTGTACCCCTTTTGGGCGCCCAAAAGCCATGAAAGAAGGCTGGCATCCAAGAAGAATTGGTTTCATTTCAGGAAATCACGTTTTTGTATGCTTGGGGTTTGCATCTGCATTTAATTCATATTTTTATATGTATAAATACAGTTGCTAATATCAGTAAAGTCTAGAATATAATAAGCAACACAGTCGTATCTGTGAAACCACGTCGTACCTGTGGAGGTCCATTCCCACGGCCCTTTCAGGTGTTTGGACATGTTTCAGGTGAGAGGACGCGGCCGTCAGCGTCCTGGCATCCTGCATGAACATTCACAGCTTGGGACATGTCCGTGGCCGTGGACGTTTCCTTTGTTTAGACATATTCCAATCCGGAAAATATGTTTTGTGCACACCTCGCATCTAGGACTCACCTCAATAAAACGTCCAATCTCAATAAGTGACCTTATATACAGGTGAGGCAAGGCATCATCTGCTGTTTTGCACGACTAAACATACATTAATGGGAGCCTCATTCCTGGCCTTTCCTTTTTGAACAATCTCCAAGCCAGGGCCTTCCAAGCCAGGCCAACTCCCACAACTCCCCTTTAACACCAACCGAAGCACCTTCCGTTCAAGGTCTCGAATGGAATACCCTACTTGATCTACGTCTGGATCTTTATTTTTGGACACCGCTTTCTTCAGGTGTAGGTTTATTTTAAAAGATCCCCTGCAGTCCGGAATTTCAACCAACTCCGACTTTTCCACCTCCAGTTTGACCCCTCCCATCAAGAGTCCCACCTCAGTGCCCTCGGCATTGTCGTTGCTACAGCAATTGTTGCCCATGAGCGCCGCAAGCACCGCGGCCAGTCGCGTGACCCAGCAAAACCCACAGACCGTGCGGAGACCTAATATGTTCATTGGGGAGAAACAGCTTTTTAGTGGTGCTTGCCCTGAGCTGCGCTGCTCCGTACCTTGACGCGTAGTGTCTCAATCCCCTAAATGGAGCCCCAGCGAGACAGTCAAGCGAGATGCACAATCTTACAGTTCGGCTCTAGTGGCAGAAAATGATCCATTACGCTCCCTTTAGAACTATCATGGCATTGGCAAATGGATGAACATGGCTCCTTAAGTGACCCTCTACAAACAGGTGGTTTTCCACTTCCATGACTGTTTCAGGGAGTGTAGATTGATCTTAAGTACATCTCCGTATCCATCCTGCCATGTGGACACCTAGCCAATGTTTCTACCTCGGCTTGGGTTCGTTTTCGCCGTGTTGTTCTCAAATAATATCAAATAATTATACAATATTATATACATACCCACTGTTTTCAGGAATCCACGTCTTTCAAACTGCCTTCCAGTCTTTTGTAAGTAGCGCACCTTCTAGCTCATAAACCATACATGATGCATGATCCCTTGCAGTACAGGGTCACGCCATGTTCACCCCTTTCCATCAAAAGTCTTAGATGTGGACTCGCACCTTTCACACACGCCCCATGTTCCATGTTCGGACGCATACCCGTGGGACATCTCCTTGCCTGCACAATCAATGCTGCTGTGTCCTGACAAAAGGGCTGCTAAAAAGGAAGAGATTGAATAGGAGCTAGCAGCTCAGCTCCAAGACGCGGGTTCCTTTTCAGCAAACATCAGATTTTGAATAGATCTCCCTAGCACCTCCAAAGAAAAACCACTAATATTATTGTGGCTTCCCTTTAGATCCCTTCAGGAGGTACAGAAGGAACATCACATAACATCACAATTGATTTGTCTCCAGAGTAGTTGGGTCCCAAACTTGAATTTGAGCCCGGCGCAAACTTACAGCGATTTTGGAGTTCATCATGAATAATGGCTACTACTTGCATTGTCTTGTCCTGGTCAAACAATGAATCCGGAAAATAGAAAAAGAAGAAAAACACCTGCGGAGGGTTCCCTTCACTTTTGGTAGGTTTGATGCCATAGAGCGCAAGAGCTGGTCAACACAGGGATCCCTCAAGCAACAAAACCCAGCAAGCCTCCCTCGGCCTCCCCAGACTAGTTCCTTCCTCTGGAATTGTTGGCCCCATGTAGCCTCCCCAGACTAGTGTAGCAAACCGAGATAGAAACTTATTGGCTTACTAACTTCAACATAGCAGTAGGTCTCTACTATTCTGCTGTGTAACCAGCAGCGAATCACGGGCCATTCGTGTTGAAATGAACCTCCTTCAAGGCATCTCAGCAGACCGGAGACCAAATCACCTGTGAAAGTGGAGGTCGGCTACCTCAGGATGTTGAAGGACATTGAAGGATCAAAGTTTGCCAAAGACGCTGAATACCTAGTCAGGTCCTTTTGGGGTTCCTCATCTTGCAATTTTGGACCTAACTTGTAGTTTCAGGCTCGGTCTCGGCCTTCTTCCCTTGCTCAATGACCGGCTGCATCTTTGTCAGGTCCACCTGGCATAGTGACAAGGGCTGAATATCCCCCCCAGGGTAGCAGATTCATATAGTAATATAGGACACTATAGCACTAGCTGGAGTCTCAAGGTACCTGTTCATGCTTACAAGTACCATTCCTATCCTTAGCCTTTTGGGGTCATGGTCCATTGGAGACCCGAGACAAAACTGACAGCACCAAAAACCACTCCAACTCCACCCATCGGCGCTGCGAGTGCTGACAGACAACTCAGGAAGTAGCTAGCTGGTCTCTCGGAGACTGTAGGACCCCGTTGCCAAGAGGGTATTTCAACCCAATGCTTCAGAACAGTCAATTTGTTCAATCCTTTCTAGCCTCACAAAGATCGAATCTATATATTTGGGCACAAACTCTCTGGAACCTCGCTTGCTGCATCGGTTTGCCGTTGTTGCATGTTGTTGCAAGACACATGCGGCAAAAACATATCATGCCAAATCATGTCAAACCATTGAAACAAACCTTTCGGTGATGTTGCAGTGTGGATATATAAGCCAAAGACCTCAGCCCTCATTTCCAGCGACGCTGCCTTGAGCTTGTCGACCACAGTCTCGGTCTCTTTCAAGCGTTGAGCTCCAACCTGCACGGCTGGGCTCTTTTCACCGCAGGCATCAGACTACCAAGGGCCCTCCCAAAGAAGAACGGACATATCCACGACACAGCATATTCAAAATTCAAAACAATTCGAACAAAAAACATGCCTCAAACATGTGTCATTTCTGGAGTCTTATTCAGCTAGTTTCATTGAACATCTTATAAACATTAACTCCAGAAACAACGCCCACCGATCGGTTTATGCCGCTATGTGCGTCCGGATGTGGAGACTTCGAATATCTTCGAATGGCCACGGCGCTAAAATGCGCCCAACCTCAACGGCTGTGACGGTACTGGCGGTGAAGAATAGATGATCAAAGAACAACAGGGTCCGCAATCGTTTGTACTCAGGGAAAATCCATGTAAATCCTGACACCCGCGAAAATTTAAGTACATGAACAATTGGACATGAATTTGCAGTGAGACCTTGCCCGGCAAGAAGAACTTGCTAAGAGAAACAAATTCCCAACTTGGCGTTGGAAAACTTGCAGTTTGGCACATGTACACTCCTCAAGCTGATTTAGAACACATGCAATATCAGGAAACGTTCATTTGGTGAGGACCGTTGTCCTTTTCTGCCGAAGGACTTCAGAGTGAAGGGCAAACACCACGGACATCGAGCCACCTCACCCGTTGGATCTGCACCAATCTCTATCTCTAACTCTATGATATCGCGTTTGATGTGCAACATCTTCAGCTGACAACACACGGGGTCGTGAAAACGTAAACATTTATGTATCAAACAAAACACCCGCCGGTGGGCTGGTGGGAGTGAGCAAGGATGTGGCTACCCCCTCCTAAACTTAAACAGTCAGGGACCACCTGAATATGACTGACCCCGATCCCAACACGAACACTCGCCCCCCAAACAAGTTCACATCCCCAACCCCATAGTCTGGCAGTGGATTTGTTGGGTAGAACCCATAATGGTGAATTTCAAACTCAGTTGAAATCAAATCCAAAGAGATACGGTATAGTAAGTTTCTGCCAGCCTAGGTGAACAAAGATTGGCATCTATATAACGGCCGACCTTTTGCTCATGTTGTCTCTTCTATGCCCATATATTGAAGTATTTAGTTTTTTATTGATCATTCTGTTGACATGGAGCGTCACTTTGCGTAGATCCTGAAAGAGCACACAAATCATCACCATGGGAAGTTTGACAGGTCGAAAGGCAGGAAACAAAAAGGGATGCAACATGAATATCTGGAAGGATCCAAGATGATCCAGGTATCTGCTCGATATCCTCTTGCCGTCTTGCCCTTTGCTCGATCCGATGCCTTCTGACAGGAATGTTCTTGGAAAAAAACCGATCACCTCGTGTCTTGACGAAAAGTCGGCTTTTCACCCGGGGCCCATCTCCCATCTCAGCCGATGAAACTGGCCTTGTATCGATTCAGTTTCATATCCAGCTCGCCCTTCTTCATGCCCAGCCTAACAGTGGCTGGATGGTTGACCCAATCCCTGTTAAGAGCCAAAAAGCCCCATGCATGTATGGATTAAATAGTATATGGATTAAAATACTTACAATCTTGGGTCATATATGGGGTAGTTAAGCATGTGTATGTAACTACTCCAAATATACATGAGTGGTCTGCGATGAGTACAAGTCAAGGAACCAAGCCTGGCTTGGCAGGTGAGTATGTCAGATTTTATGTCAGCTGCCGTCGTCCTCCTCCTCGTCCACCTCGTCCTCCACCTCCTGCTCCTCCGCCTCCTCCTCGCAGCGCTCCCCGCCGGAGCTCAACCGCCAGCTCCGGATGGCAGTGTTCTTCGCCGGACCTCAACCGCCAGCTCCAGATGGCAGAGACAGCGTCTCAACCGCCAGCTCAGCATAGCAGTGTTCCCTGCCGAACCTCGACCGCCAGCTTCGGATGGCAGTGTTCCCCGCCGGACCTCAACCGCGAGGTCCGCTCGGCAGTGTTCCAAGCCGGACCTCTCAGCCGCAAGCTCCACTCGGCAGTGTTCCCCGCCGTCAGATCTCGACCGCGAGCTTCGGCTGGCAGTGTTCCCCCCCCAGCCTCAGCCGCGAGTCAGAAGATATGCCAGAGAGAGTGTCAGAAAGAATGTTTCAAAAGCTGTGCCAGAAAGACTGTCAGAACATATGCCAGAAAGAATGTCAGAAGATATGCCAGATAGAAAACCTGAAAAATGCCAGAAGAGATGTCAGAAAGAATGTCAGCACATATGCCAGAAATAATGTCAGAAGACATGCCAAAGAGAATGTCAGAAGATACACCAGAAAGAATGTCAGAAGATATGATATGCCAGAAAGAATGTCAGAAAAAGTGTCCAAAAAGACTGTCAGGAGATATGCCAGAAAGAATGCCGAATTTTTTTTCAATACATGCCAGACAAATTGTTGGATTGAAATGTCATGGTGGGGATCGCTTGAAGCAAGGTATATTTTCAAGGATGCATTTTCTCGGGAAGTTGGTGGAAACTTGTTGAAAACGCTCAATCTGACAGTTTTTGGAGAAGAACGATGATCAAGAAAAGCTAAAACAACTCTCTTCATATACGAGGGAGGGTAGAACCCCAGCTTGTCCACGTGAAATTGTTCAATTGCAGCTCAACATATTCACAGGAAGCGAGAACAGCTGGCAATCATTGTTCTTGAGCTGGCTGGGCTTAAATCCAGGCTTTTTGAGACCTTTTCCGACTGTGTGAGACGGGGCATTAGCTGTAGCAGCTCTTTGTCCCAAAACGAACGCCACAGGCATTAGCTCTAGCACTAGACTCTGGTCTCCAAACTGTGGAGGTCTTTGGAGACCTACACTTACAGCATCTTGCAGCTGGTGAC